TATTTGGTGTGACACATTTTGTGTTGTCTGCCAGAAGTATTGTACCTCTAACAGGTCCAATCCTCCACCCAAATTGCCTTCCCCCAAATACAGCCACACTCCCTCCTTAACCTAAGGCAAAGGAGATGGAAACAACAGGCTTCGGGATACCTGAGAAAGAGGGGCGAAGAGGAAGCAGGCTCCACTCGTTTTCACTCAGCACCGTTGCGCTCCCGTTGCCCTCCTCTTTCACCACCCACTGGAGGGGTGCCTCCTCCTTGGTGTCCGGCTCAACCTCATTGGCTTCTCCTGCTGAGTTTACTTTGGATTGCTCTGGCTGTACATCGGGGCCAAGAGTGTCCTCCAGGGGGGTCTTCTCCCCAGCTATTTCCCGGGGTCCTCCATTGCTTCTCCCAGCCGGGGTGACATCAAGGTCTTCTCCTGGTTCCTTTTTGCATTGCTCTGGCTGTACATCGGGACCAGGAGCATCCTCCTCGGGGGTCTTCTCCCCAGCTTTTTCCCGGGGTCCACCATCACTTCTCCCAGCCGGGGTGACATCAAGGTCTTCTCCTGGTTCCTTTTTGCATTGCTCTGGTTGTACTTCGGGACCAAGAGCGTCCTCCTCGGGGGTCTTCTCCCCAGCAATTTCCCAGTGTCCTTCATCCCTTCTCCCAGCCGGGGTGACATCAAGGTCTTCTCCTGGTTCCTTTTTGCATTGCTCTGGCTTTACATCAGGGCCAAGAGCGTCCTCCTCGGGGGTCTTCTCCCCAGCAATTCCCCAGGGTCCGCCATCGCTTCTCCCAGCTGGGGTGACATCAAGGTCTTCTCCTGGTTCCTCTTTGATCACTGACGTGTTGCAGTTAAACATCTTCTGGCAGTGAAAGCAAAGTCAAGCTGATTCCATTCTGTAGTATAGAGATACACACAAGACCAAAAAGTAAGGCATTATAATGACAACCTGATCCATCCCTGTCTGATGATGCTGAAGGGATGACCAAGCAGGCTTGGGAAATGCAAGTGGAGGGTGCATCTACACGGCAGAATTAAAGAGGTTTGATACCACTTCCACTGACCTGGCTGAGTGGACTGGAACATACTTAGTCCAAATCTTTTTTTATACAGGTTTTAAACCACTTCATTGGATGTTTTGCAATAGCAGATTCCCAGATTAGTTTTTACACCTTATTTTATTTTATTGTTATTTAATATTTAATGTTTATTTTACTTAAGTGATATTTGTCTTTATTGTTCTAATGTAGCACAAATCCTATGTAAAATCATACTTTATTTTTGACATTAATATTGAAATCTGAAATATATACAGAAAGTCTTTACTTGGGAATTACTTGTAGTCCTGGGAATTGTGGTGTCTGCAAGATCTTGAGCCTCCTCCTTCCCACCAAACTACATCTCCCAGGGCTACATACCACTCATCCATGGCATTCCAAAGTGGGGCCAAACTGCACTCTTACTTACCAAAAGGAACTAGTTCCTAGTAACGACACTGCAGGCAACGCGTTACCTTCTTTCCTTCCAGCTCTCCTCTTCCCCCAGTTTGGGAAAAGAACTCCTTCCTTCTCTTTGCTGGCCACGCCTTCTGATTCAGTGGGGCATCCCCGGAAGTGACGTTGGGGATTCCCTCCCCTCTTCTCTAGGGCTGCCCACTCTGTCATTTTAACCCTTTCTGGACCAGCAATAGTAGAACAAACTGATATGCTTGAGGGCTATGGCTATATTTATATATATATATACACACACACACACACATATAACCAGCATAGGGACCGAGCTCTGTTTGGGTTATTTGAGATAGACATTGTATGTGCTCCAGTTTTAGTCTAGATCCAAGGACCAAGGCAGAGACATCTCCAGCTCATCCCCTGTTTGGGTATCAGCCAGCACATCAACGACTTAAATCAAGACATAGTTTTCTAAGATCTACAGAGACACTCGCTGGAACACCTCAGCAAGCGAGAGTCCAAAAGTGGCAGGCTCAAATCCAGCACCTCACGGGTTATACCAGATGAGAGACTCCCCCCTGGGCACACAGAGGACTGGGCGACTTGGAAGGTGCTGAACAGACTGCGCTCTGGCACCACGAGATGCAGAGCCAACCGTAAGAAATGGGGCTACAAAGTGGAATCCACGACATGCGAGTGTGGAGAAGAGCAAACCACTGACCACCTGCTGCAATGCAACCTGAGCCCTGCCACATGCACAATGGAGGACCTTCTTGCGGCAACACCAGAGGCACTCCAAGTGGCCAGATACTGGTCAAAGGACATTTAACCAAATACCAAATTTGCAAAATATCTGTGTGTTTTTTCCCCTTTTTCTTTTTAATCTGTGTGTTTGTTTTGCTCTGTTAGAATTGTAATACAATGGTTGCTGATGACACGATAAATAAATAATAGTCTAGATCCAATGTCTGGTGGGTTCAATGGGTGCGGGTGAACTACAACTCCCATATGGAAGTCCTTTTGTCCATGGTCCATCCTCCTCAAAACTGCACCAGGGTCATGGAGGCTCTGCGTGCCAAGTTTGGTCTTGATCAGTCATTGGATGGGAGTGGCAGTGGTCTTGGGAAGTGAGTGGAGGTACTTCAAATCCCATCATCCATAGCCGGCCCTCCTCTAAACTGCACCAGGATGTAGAGTGGGTCATGGGGGCTCTAGGTGTCAAGTTTGGTCTTGATCAGTCATTGGTGTGGGTCGCAATGTTCTCAGGAAGTGAGTGAAGGTGCTGGAAGTCCCATTGTCCATGGTCCGTTGGCCCACAATTCCCACCCAGACGTAGAGTGGATCTTGGGGGCTCCGTGTGCCAAGTTTCGTGTTGATGTTGCAGTGTCTCAGGAAGTGAGTGAAAGTACTGCAAGTCCCATCATCCATGGTCCTCCTTCTCCAAACTGCACCAGGATGTAGAGTTGGTCATGGGGACTTTGTGTGCCAAGGTTGGTCTTCATCAGTCATTGGATGAGGGTTGCAGCAGTCTCAGGAAGTGAGTGGAGGTACTTCAAGTCCCATCATCTGTGCACCCTCCTCCCAACTGCACCAGGATGTAGAGTGGGTCATGGGGGCTCTGTGTGCCAAGTTTGGTCTTGATCAGTCATTGATGAGGGTTGCAATGGTCTCAGGAAGTGAGTGAAGGTACTGCAAGTCCCATCATCCATGGTTCCTCCTCCTCCAAACTGCACCAGGATGTAGAGTGGGTCATGGGGGCTCTGTGTGCCAAGTTTGGTCTTGATCAATCATTGGATGGGAGTGGCAGTGGTCTTGGGAAGTGAGTGGAGGTACTTCAAATCCCATCATCCATAGCCGGCCCTCCTCTAAACATGCACCAGGATGTAGAGTGGGTCATGGGGGCTCTAGGTGTCAAGTTTGGTCTTGATCAGTCATTGGTGTGGGTCGCAATGTTCTCAGGAAGTGAGTGAAGGTGCTGGAAGTGCCATTGTCCATGGTCCATTGGCCCACAGTTCCTACCCAGACGTAGAGTGGATCTTGGGGGCCCTGTGTACCAAGTTTCGTGTTGATCAGTGATTGGTATAGGTGGCAGTGGTCTTGGGAAGTGAGTGGAGGTACTTCAAGTCCCATCATCCATGGTCCTCCCTCCTCCAAACTGCACCAGGATGTAGAGTGAGTCATGGGGGCTCTGTGTGCCAAGTTTGGTCTTGATCAGTCATTGGATGTGGGTGACAGTGGTCTCGGGAAGTGAAGTGGTCACGGCATTAGGAAGATTGAGAAACACTGCATTAAGGGAAGCGTCAGACAGAAATGGTCCTGTGTATTTGCCTTAAAAGAAAACTGGAATGCTAGAATCTCACATCATGAAAATTATGCACTTGCCTTCAGGCAGCATTTCTCAACCTGGGGTTCGGGACCCCTGGGGGGTTGTGAGGGGGGGGGTCAGAAGGGTCACCAAAGACCACCAGAGAACACAGTATTTTCTGTTGGTCACTGGGGTTGTATGTAGGAAATTTGGCCCAATTCTATCGTTGGTGGGGTTCAGAATGCTCTTTGATTGTAGGTGAACTATAAATCCCAGTAACTACAACTCCCAAATGTCAAGGTCTATTTCCCCCGAACTCCATCTGTGTTCAAATTTGGGCATATGGAGTATTCGGACCCAGTTTGGTCTAGATCAGTGTTTCTCACCCTGGGGGTCGGGACCCCTGGGGGGGGTCACAAGGGGGTTTCAGAGAGGTCGCCAAAGACCATAGGAAAACACATATTTGTGCTGGAAAGCACATACTTCTGATGGTCTTAGGAACCCTTTTGGCAGAGAAGGCTGAAGACCTCTCCGCCTGTTTGTCTCTTCCTTTTTGGTGTTGGTGAACCCCACCTGTATTCAATGTTGGCCATGTAGTTAGTGTGCCAAGTTTGGTGCAGATTAATTGTGGGCTGGGTGCATAGTCGTGTATTGTTATTCTATCTTTTGAGGCCTTGGCCTTTGTAAGGCACATCGAGTCCTTCGGGAGATACTAGCGGGGTACAAATAAAGTTAATAATAATAATAATAATAATAATAATAATAATAATAATAATAATAGTCCTTTTTGATTGTAGATAGACTATACATCCCAGTAACTTCCACTCCCAAATGTCAGGCTCTATTTTCCCAAAACTCCACCAGTGTTCACATCTGGGCATATTGAGTATTTGTGCCAAGTTTGGTCCAGATCCATCATTGTTTGAGTCCACAGTGCCCTCTGGATGTAGGTGAACTACAACTCCACAATTCAAGGTCACTGCTCACCAAACTCTTCCAGTATTTTCTGTTGGTCATGGGAGTTCTGCATGCCAAATTTAGTTCAATTCCATCATTCGTGGAGTGGCCGGATGACCATTCAAAGGAAGACATAGTTCTATGAACAAATTGTGTGGTCCTAACACGTGCCCCAAGCCCCTCCATTGGGAGAAAGGTGAGAATGAAAATAAAGTAAATAAGTAAATAAAACAACAACACAAAAAATCAAAACAACTTGGTTTTAAAGGGCAGAGAGAGAGAGAGAAAACGTGTTAAGAAGATGGGGAAGTGTCCCGTTTATTAGATGGCATACGCGATCCCATAGCATTGATCCATGGGAGTGAAACAGCTACCAAACTGCATTAATCCTACAATGTAGATGCACCCCCAGATAAAGAGCAACCTTAGTGGAAAGCATCAGCAACCAGACCCAGGAACAGATGTGTCTCCTGTATCTGGAATCAAAAGGGAAATGCTATGTATGGATAAACCACATTTACTGGATTACCCCCTGTACTGGAGCATATTAAATCCAAATGAAAGTGAGATAAAAATCATCACTATTCAAAAGTATTGGATTTTGGGAATGCGCCTGGATCCGTCCCTCCAAATGTCAGCCAAGGTAGATGCCATGGTGAGGAGTCTACCAGTCTAGACGGATAGGCCAGCTGCATCCCGTCCTAGATCACGAGGAGCTGAAGATGGTGGGACACACATTAGTAATCCCAAGGCTGGACTTCTGCAATGCACTCCATATAGGGCTACCATTGTACTTGATAGGATTTTCTGTGCTCTTAGGGGGAGCCACTCAAAAATATAGCAGAGCATCCAAAGTACAAACAGGATACTGAGTGCTGAGCATTCAGTTCACAGCAAGCAGAGTGCAAAGTGTTGAGGGTGGAAAAGAATTTAGAGCTTAGGAGGCAATGATCCAGAGTTGAATCTTTCAAAATACAAAATATTTATTTACAAAAATAGTAGCTACATTCCTTAAAAATAAAGAACTGGGTCTGAGCTAGTCTACCTCTATCTGTCTAGCATTCCAAAAGGGGAGGGGAAAATCTCTTAGCACTACAACTCTCCTGACACACACAAACAGAAAGCGATCTCAATACACAATACGATCTAATTGCACCTCCTTCTTGAATGACCAGGCAAGAGCTGCAGGGATCAAGCTCAGAAATTTTTATTATCTGATTACAAATGAGTATGCACACTATAACAATCTATCATAGACTATACAGATACAGTCGCCTCATTGACTTGTGTGATGTAAAGAAAGCTCAGTGCTATTCCTACGGGTCTTGCCACTTCTTAAGCATTTGAATGGCTTTTGGCCTGTGTGGGTTTTCTGATGGCAACAGAAGGCCTTTCGATTGCTGAAGTGCTTTCCACACTCCAGGCATTTATATGATTTCTCTCCTGTGTGGATTTTTTTGTGCACTTTAAGGTGGGAACTCTCCGTAAAGGACTTTCCACACTCCAAGCATTTGTAGGGTTTCTCTCCTGTATGGATTCTTGTATGCTCAGTAAGGTTTCCTTTCAAAGCAAATCTCTTTCCACACTCCAAGCATTGATATGGTTTCTCTCCTGTGTGGATTCTTGTATGCTCAGTAAGGTTTCCTCTCACAGCGAAACTCTTTCCACACTCCGAGCATTGATATGGTTTCTCTCCTGTGTGGATTCTTCTGTGCACTTTAAGAGCTGAACTCTCACTGAAGGACTTTCCACACTCCAGGCATTTATATGGTTTCTCTCCTGTATGGGTTTTTCTGTGCACGTTAAGGCCTGATTTATCAATGAAGCACTTTCCACACTCCGGGCATTTATATGGCTTCTCTCCAGAGTGGACCTTCTTGTGGCGATAAAAGTGGGCGCTCTGCCTGAAGCTCTTGTGGCACTCCAAGCATGTGTAGGGTTTCTCTCCTGTGTGGATTCTCATATGCTCAGTAAGGTTTACTCTCACAGCAAAACTCTTTCCACACTCCGGGCATTTATATGGTTTCTCTCCTGTGTGGATTCTTCTGTGCACTTTAAGAGTTGACCTCTCACTGAAGGACTTTCCACACTCCAGGCATTTATATGGTTTCTCTCCGGTGTGGATTCTTATATGCTCAGTAAGGTTTCCTCTCACAGCAAAACACTTTCCACACTCCAAGCATTTATATGGTTTCTCTCCCGTGTGGGTTCTTTTATGCACATTAAGTTTCCATTTGGTAGTGCAGCCCTTTCCGCACTTCACACATTTATATGGTGTCTCTCCTGTGTGGGTTCTTGTATGTACAATAAAGTGTCCTCTCTCCCTGAAGCTCTTTCCACACTTCAAGCATTTATACGGCTTATTTCCTGTGTGGATTCTTCTGTGCACTTTAAGGTTTGAACTCTCAGTGAAGGACTTTCCACACTCTGGGCACTTATATGGTCTGTCTCCTGTGTGGATTCTTGCATGCTCAGTTAGGTTTCCTCTCACAGCAAAACTCTTTCCACACTCCGCACATTTAAATGTTATCTCTCCTGTGCGGATTTTTGTATGTAAATCAAGGTCTCCTCTCACACTGAAGCTCTTCCCACACTCCACACATTTATATGTGGTTTTTATTGAGTGGATTCTTCTGTGCCGACTAAGACCTGCTCTCCCAGTGAAGGTCTTTCCACAATCCACACATTTGTACGGTTTCTCTCCTGCGTGGGTTCCTTCATATGCTTTCTCCCCATTCTCACTCTCCCTTCCATCTTTGCCTGGAACAGAAAGACAGAGAAATATTTCAATAGTGAAAGGTTACATCAGTGCCTCTGGCTTCAGTCCCCTTCCCAAAACTTGCAGAATGACTGCTCTTTGGCACCACTTCTCAGCTCCAGAAAGTATAATTTGGGACGCAGGTAAAGCTGTAATAAGAGGTCATTTTATTTGGTTGGAATTTTTTTTTAAAAAAGTGGAATACTTACACATTCCCTACAAAGACAACAACAGGTTAAATACAAGACGCAAATCCAAGATCAAATAAGAAAGTTGGAGAAAGATTTCAGAGGCAAGTTAAAACATAGTTGTTTTAGCAAGCATTCACAAATGCAGAGTAAACGATAGAGGAAATTAAATGACTTGACGATGGAATTGGACAATGCTTGATAATAAGGAGACGCTAATGTTGTTGTTATTATTTTATACTGTTTTAATGTTTTAACTTGTTTTACGAAATTATGTGTACTGTTTTCTTGGAAATCACCTTGAGCCGCTGATTGGCTGAGAAAGGCGGTATACAAATATAGTAAGTAAATAAATAATAAATAAATTTAGATGAATTAGATCTCTCTGGAAAAAGTACTACCAAAATTAATAAAAACGGATCAATATGGATTTGTTAAAGGGAGATCTATTGGACACCCAATTCAAAATATATTATATAAATTTAATTAGCTCCACTTCAACTGCCATGGCTTGATGTTGTGGAATCTTGGGACCTGTAGTGTTACAAGAACCTCCTATGTCAAAGTGTGATTGTGCTGTGTACCGTTTGGGTATCAGCCAGCACAAGAAATAGTTTTCTAAGTTCTACAGAAACACTCATTGGAACACCTCAGCAAGCGAGAGTCCAAAAGTGGCAAGCTCAAACCCAGAACTTCAATCAATGGCTGATACCAAATGAGAGACTCCCCCCTGGGCACACAGAAAACTGGGCGACTTGGAAAGCGCTGAACAGACTGCGCTCTGGCACCACGAGATGCAGAGCCAACCTCAAGAAATGGGGCTACAAAGTGGAATCCATGACATGCGAGTGTGGAGAAGAGCAAACCACTGACCACCTGCTGCAATGCAACCTGAGCCCTGCCACATGCACAATGGAGGACCTTCTTGCAGCAACACCAGAGGCACTCCAAGTGGCCAGATACTGGTCAAAGGACATTTAATCAACTACCAAGCTTGCAAACTTTTTGTTTTGTTTGTTTAAAAATGTAATACAACCGTTTGGTTTGCTCCTGACGATAAATAAATAAATAGCTCCTAATATTTGATGTGACACATTTTATGTTGTCTGCCAGAAGTATTGTACCCCTAACAGGTCCAATCCTCCACCCAAATTGTTTTCCCCAAATAAAGACACACTCCCTCCTTAACCTAAGGAAAGGGAGATGGAAACAACAGGCTTTGGGATACCTGAGACAGAGGGGCGAAGAGGAAGCAGGCTCCACTCGTTTTCGCTCATCACCGTTGCGCTCCCGTTGCCCTCCTCCTTCACCACCCACCGGAGGGGTGCTCCCTCCTTGGTGTCCGGCTCAACCTCATTGGCTTCTCCTGCTAAGTTTACTTTGCATTGCTCTGGCTGTACATCAGGGCCAAGAGCGTCCTCCTGGGGGGTCTTCTCCCCAGCAATTCCCCAGGGTCCGCCATTGCTTCTGCCATCCGGGGTGACATCAAGGTCTTCTCCTGGTTCCTTTTTGCATTGCTCTGGCTGTACATCGAGGCCAAGAGCACCCTCCTCGGGGGTCTTCTCCCCAGCAATTCCCCAGGGTCCACCATCACTTCTCCCGTCCGGGGCGACATCAAGGTCTTCTCCAGGTTCCTCTTTGATCGCTGACTTGTTGCAGTTAAACATCTTCTGGCAGTGAAAGCAAGGTCAAGCTGATTCCATTCTGTAGTATAGAGATACACACAAGTAAGGCACTATAACTACAATCCGAACTTTTATATACAGTACTAGCCGTCCCCTGCCACACGTTGCTGTGGCCCAGTAATGAGAAAGTGTTGGTTTCTAATATATGTAATTTCTTTACTCTTGTCGGTAAATAGTATTTCCTGCTGTTACTTTGTCAGTATTGATGTAGAGATTGTCTGGTTTGCCTACTCTGGAACATGCAACACATAATTGTCCTTCTTTAGGGGTCCCTTTCAAATACTATGATATGTATGTGTGTGTGTGTGTGAATAATATACATCTATCTATATCTATGGCTGGATGGCTCTTTTTCAGGAGGGCTTTGATTATGTTTCCTTGCCCTGGTGAACGGAGTTGGACTGGATGGCCTTTAGTATTTTCTGTTGGGCATGGGGGTTCTGTATGGGAAGTTCGCCCCAATTCTGTCGTTGGTGGGGTTCAGAATGCCCTTTGATTGTAGGTGAACTATAAATCCCAGTAACTACAACTCCCAAATGTCAAGGTCTATTTCCTCCAAACTCCACCAGTGTTCACATTTGGGTATATGGAGTATTCCTGCCATGTTTGGTCCAGATCAATCATTGTTTGAGTGCACGGTGCTCTCTAGATGTAGGTGGACTACAACTCCCACATTCAAGGTCAATGCCTACCAAACCCTTTTAGCGTTTTCTGTTGGTCATGGGAGTCCTGTGTGCCATGTTTGCTACAATTCAGTCATTGGCGGCATTCAGAATGCCCTTTGATTGTAGGTGAACTATAAATCCCAGTAACTACAACTCCCAAATGTCAAGGTCTATTTCCTCCAAACTCCACCAGTGTTCACATTTGGGTATATGGAGTATTCCTGCCATGTTTGGTCCAGATCAATCATTGTTTGAGTGCACGGTGCTCTCTAGATGTAGGTGGACTACAACTCCCACATTCAAGGTCAATGCCTACCAAACCCTTTTAGCGTTTTCTGTTGGTCATGGGAGTCCTGTGTGCCATGTTTGCTACAATTCAGTCATTGGCGGCATTCAGAATGCCCTTTGATTGTAGGTGAACTATAAATCCCAGTAACTACAACTCCCAAATGTCAAGGTCTATTTCCTCCAAACTCCACCAGTGTTCACATTTGGGTATATGGAGTATTCCTGCCATGTTTGGTCCAGATCAATCATTGTTTGAGTGCACGGTGCTCTCTAGATGTAGGTGGACTACAACTCCCACATTCAAGGTCAATGCCTATCAAACCCTTTTAGTGTTTTCTGTTGGTCATGGGAGTCCTGTGTGCCATGTTTGGTTCAATTCCATCATTGGTGATTCAGAATGCCCTTTGATTGTAGGTGAACTATAAATCCCAGTAACTACAACTCCCAAATGTCAAGGTCTATTTCCTCCAAACTCCACCAGTGTTCACATTTGGGTATATGGAGTATTCCTGCCATGTTTGGTCCAGATCAATCATTGTTTGAGTGCACGGTGCTCTCTAGATGTAGGTGGACTACAACTCCCACATTCAAGGTCAATGCCTATCAAACCCTTTTAGTGTTTTCTGTTGGTCATGGGAGTCCTGTGTGCTATGTTTGGTTCAATTCCATCATTGGTGAAGTTCAGAATGCCCTTTGATTGTAGGTGAACTATAAATCCCAGCAACTACAGCTCCCAAATGACAAAATGAATCTTTTTTTTTTTTGTTAATGTCACTCCTTTGGTTATTAGGTGTCTTGTGTCCAAATTTGGTGTCAATTTGTCCAGTGATTTTTGAGTTATGTTAATCCCACAAACGAACATGACATTTTATTTATATAGATTCTGAACCTGATCCATCCCTGTCTGATGATCCTTAAATGATGATCAAGCAGGCTTGGGAAATGCAATTTGAGGATGCATCATCTGTACAGCAAAATTAAAGCGGTTTGAAACCACTTCCACTGCTCTGGATCACTACTATGGAGTCCTGGGAGTTGTGGTGTCTGCAAGGTCTTGAGCCTCCTCCTCCTCCTTCTCCCCAAACTACATCTCCCAGGGCTCCATACCACCCAGCCATGGCATTCCAAAGTGGGGCCAAACTGCATCCTTACTTACCAAAAGGAACTAGTTCCTAGTAACGACACTGCAGGCAACGCGTTACTTTCTTTCCTTCCAGCTCTCCTCTTCCCCCAGTTTGGAAAAAGAACTCCTTCCTTCTCTTTGCTGGCCACGCCTTCTGATTCAATGGGACACCCCGGAAGTGACGTTGGGGATTCCCACCCGTCTTCTCTAGGGCTGCCCACTCTGTCATTTTAACCCTTTCTGGACCAGCAATACTAGGACAAACTATAGGCTATGGCTATGTGTGTATATGTGTGTGCGTCTTGTCTCTTGTGCTATGCTAATAATATAATATATGTATATAATATATTGTATATACATATAATATTTATAATATTATAATGCAATAAGTATTTATTTATTTCTTTATTTGTCGTGTTGAGCCCGAGCGCAGCGGGGAGCCCCGCCTTCACATTGGTGTGAACTGCAGCGGAGAGTTCCGCAGTTCCTGGATCAAGCTTTTGGGACCAACAGATGAAATGTGCCCCAGCAACCAGCTCAAAACCAGGAATGCTTGCAGTTTCACTTTGCTTTCCCCTTTCCCTTTACTTTGTATCCTTTTCCTAATAAAAGTACTTGAAACTTGCAACTTTTCATCTCTCCGCTTGATACTTTTGTATCCTTTCTGACTCAAACCATAACAGCACCAAAATAAACCTTTTTCCAGGCTCCGGAGAGCCGTGAGCCTGCGGGAGGCGCCTCCGGGCGCTCCCCGGACCCTGAATCTGCGTTCGCCCGAACCGCGGATACGGAAACCGCCATTTCAAACCCCCTTATCCACGAAAATACCTAAAATGGCGGATCGCCGCTGTTCCAATTTTATGCTTTTCTACAACTAATTTTAAGACTAACTACTATCTCCTTCTTCTCGTTTTGGGCTCCTTCACCCGGGAAAAATTAGTATTGTTTTAAGCATTTTTATCTTGCAGAGAAACAGCTGATTGTCAAACTGGCCAGGCTTTTCGCTTCTCCTTGGCAGCGCTCGCTCCCGCTTGGATCCAGCAGCCAGGGACCCACTGCGGCCACCCGTAGGGGTCCCGGGAAGGTGGCCAGGCATGGGTCCCGGCCTCTGATCAGGGAAATGTAGTTTCCCAAAGGACATTGCTCCATCAATCACAACCCGGAAACCCTCCTTGGACTCTCTTGTTTGCCCTCTCCTATTGACTTTCTGCTCCACATCCCGGACTGTTTTCTGCCACTTTTTTGGACACAAACCTTCAGACCAGGCTGGCCCCGACTCGCAAGTGACCTCCGCTTCCGTGTGCCTTCACCAGGAGACCATGAACTTCTTTTCAATAATAAAGATAATCAAATATTTTTAATAAACTTTCGCTGGGGATGGGGATGGGATTGCCTCATGAAATGTGAAAATATATGAAATGTATGTAATGAAATATTATAAGAAATGTACTCTGGTTCCCCTCCCTGCTTCTCCTCTTTGACCCTTGCCCCAAAAGGAATGTGACCTAAGGATTACTGTGACAGGGAGGAAACCCTTTGTCCTCCCGAAATGGTTCATATTTACATTTGCATGGGCCGTGTGGTTGATCCCTTCTCAAACTAACTTTCAGAGCAGACAGTAAGGGAGGGAAGGGTCAACAGAAACTTAGGAAGAAAAGACTGATTGAATCATTTTTTTGGTATTTGTTGATCCCCCTTTTTACAAGGCCCTGAGGTCCAAATACCATCAACAGCCCCTTTTCATACTTCCTCCCAAATCCAATCATGGACCAGGAAACTCATTGTTCCCCTATCTGTCACCCCGCCGGTGAGGACAAAGCCTCACATTTCAGCTGGCGGATGCCCCCTGGGCTCATCATTTCCTCTGAACTGTCAAGCTTCGTCCCGCCTCCTGGCTGCCGATTGGACCATCTTTGGAGGCGCTAGGAAGGCGCTGATTGGCCCCCTGGAGGCGGCAGAGCCTGCTGATTGGACAGGAGGCGAGGTGCGCCGCCAAGCCTCCGCCCAGCTGTTCCACGGCCAGCCAATCAGAGCAAAGCCGGCCGGCAGAAGGCAGGCGGGATTTTTGAAAATGTTTCCTTTGTCTGTACGCTATAAAAATGCCTGGAAATTCTGTAAAATCATGCTTGTATGTGAATGATCACTGCAATCGCATCCTTTTCAGCTGAATCGCAGAAATAAACGCCTCGGTCACTGAACCTCTTCAGCCTCTGGTGAGATTAATTTTTAATATTTTTCGCTTCTTTGGATTGGCTTTCGCTGGCTGCTCACTGAGGTCAAAGGACCCCTTTAGCGGTCTTTAGGGATCTCTCCCGCTGGGAGACCCCCACAAAAGGGCTCGATATCAGTGTCAGGGCAGCCAGTCAAATATATTATATTTCTAACAGAACAAAGCAAACAAACAGAAAAAATACAAAATGTGTGAGTTTGGTAGTTGATTAAATGTCCTTTGACCAGTATCTGGCCCCTTGGAGTGCCTCTGGTGTTGCCACAAGGAGGTCCTCCATTGTGCATGTGGCAGGGCTCAGGTTGCATTGCAGCAGGTGGTCAGTGGTTTGCTCTTCTCCACACTCGCATGTCGTGGATTCCACTTTGTGGCCCATTTCTTGAGGTTGGCTCTGCATCTCGTGGTGCCAGAGCGCAGTCTGTTCAGCGCCTTCCAAGTCGCCCAGTTTTCTGTGTGCCCTGGGGGCTCAGTCCTCTGTGTGCCCAGGGGGGAGTCTCTCACTTGGTATCACCCACGGACTGAGGTGCTGGGTTTGAGCCTGCCACTTTTGGACTCTCGCTTGCTGAGGTGTTCCAGCGAGTGTCTCTGTAGATCTTAGAAAACTATTTCTAGATTTAAGTGGTTGGCGTGCTGGCTGATACCCAAACAGGGGTTGAGCTGGAGATGTCTCTGCCTTGGTCCTTTCACTATTGGCTGCCACTTCCCGGCGGATGTCAGGTGGTGCGATACCGGCTAGACAGTGTAATTTCTCCAGTGGTGTAGGGCGCAGACACCCCGTGATAATGCGGCATGTCTCATTAAGAGCCACATCCACTGTTTTAGCGTGGTGAGATGTGTTCCACACTGGGCATGCATACTCAGCAGCAGAGTAGCACAGAGCAAGGGCAGATGTCTTCACTGTATCTGGTTGTGATCCCCAGGTTGTGCCAGTCAGCTTTCGTATGATATTGTTTCTAGCACCCACTTTTTGCTTGATGTTCAGGCAGTGCTTCTTGTAGGTAAGAGCACGGTCCAGAGTGACTCCCAGGTATTTGGGTGCGCTGCAATGCTCCAGTGGGATTCCTTTCCAGGTGATCTTCAGAGCTCGGGATGCTTCTCTGTTCTTGAGATGAAAGGCACATGTCTGTGTTTTAGATGGGTTGGGGATCAGCTGGTTTTCCCTGTAATAGGCAGTAAGAGTACCTAGAGCTTCGGAAAGCTTCTGTTCTACCATCTCAAAGCTCCCTGCTTGAGCAGTAATGGCACGATCATCAGCATAGATGAAGCTCTCTGTCCCTTCTGGCAGTGGCTGGTCATTTGTGTAGATGTTGAACATGGATGGAGCAAGCACACTCCCAGAAGCAACCAGCATGCAATAAGTATAAAACTAAAACTAATAATAATGCAATATTATAATTGCATGTAATATTACTAATCATATTACAATTTTATGGTATAGTGCAATATAGTAATATGTAATACTGATATTGTGCTATGCTAATAATATAATATATTGTATGTGTGTGTGAGTGTATGTATTATATGTGTGTGTGTGTGTGTGTGTGTGTTCTGTGCTTAATGAGTACCCTAAAAACAAAAGAACCAATGAACGAAATCACACCGAATTTGGCAACAAAACGTCTCAGAACACAAGGAGTGACCATCACTCAAAACATTATGATTTTGTCAGTTAGGAGTTGTAGTTGCTGGGATTTATAGTTCACCTACAATCAAAGAGCATTCTGGACTCCACCAATGATGGAATTCAACCAAACTTGGCACACAGGACTCCCTTGACCAACAGAAAATATTGGAAGGGTTTGTTGGGCATTGACCTTGAGTTTGGGAGTTGTAGTTCACCTACATCCAGAGAGCATTGTGGACTCAAACAATGATGGATCTGGACCAAACTTGCCACAAGCACTCAATACGCACAAATATGAACACAGATTGAGTTTGGGGGAAATAGACCTTGACATTTGGGAGTTGTAGTTACTGGGATTTATAGTTCACCTACAATCAAAGAGCATTCTGAACCACCAACAATGAAATTGAACCAAACATGGCACACAGAACTCCCATGACCAACGGAAAATACTGGAAGGGTTTGGTGGGCATTGACCTTGAGTTTGGGAGTTGTAGTTCACCTACATCCAGAGAACACTGTGGATTCAAACAATGATGGATCTGGACCAAACTCTACACGAATACTCAATATGCCCAAATGTGAACGCAGATGGAGTTTGGGGAAAATAGAATCTTGACATTTGGGAGTTGTAGTTGCTGGGATTTATAGTTCACCTATAATCACAGAGCATTCTGAACCCCACCAACGATAAAATTGGGCCAAACCTCCCACACTGAATCCCCATGTGGGCCACAGCAACGCGTGGCAGGGGACGGCTAGTCATATTACAATTTTATGGTATAGTACAATATAGTAATATGTAATACTGATATTGTGCTATGCTAATAATATAATATATTGTATGTGTGTGTGTGTGTATTTGTGTGTATATGTATGTATTATATATATATATAGAGAGAGAGAGAGAGAGAGAGAGAGAGTAAACCACTTTGAGTCCCCTTCGGGGTGAGAACGAAGGCATATAAATGCTGTAAATAAATAAATAAATAAGTGTGTGTGTGTGTGTGTGTGTGTATACACACACACACACAATAAAAGTGAAAATATGTTTGTGTGTGGTTGGAGTGTCCACTTAAAGCAACAGGCTCCCACTTCCACAAATAGCTGTAGCTCCCACAGCTCTGGAGACACCAAAGGCCCTCCTTCCAATGACATTGCAGGTTACAGAGAATGCCTTATGTCCAAAAGCCCTTCCAATGCCCTCCACAAACACCATCCTGCCCACCACCCAAGTGAAGGCTGTCATATTGGGGACCATTTCATTCTAGATTATCTGTTTTTACTCCTCCACAGACATCCCAGTGTTACTTACTCTCTCCATTGGTGTGGAATTTGCATGACCCCCCGCCACTGCCTTTCCCTTAACCCTTTCCTATTCTTTTCTATGGCATACAGCAAACAGAGGAATTGATCGGCAACTTGACATACTAGAGAGGTTTGGGGAGAATTCACCATGATTTATAGGAGTTGTAAACGACTCCGGCCCAGTTTACCTGTTCGAACGGGTTCTCCCCTATGAACCATCAAGGTTAATAAGATCTTCCAGAGGTGCCCTGCTCTCGGTCCCACCACCCTCGCAATCGCGTCTGGTGGGGACGAGAGACAGGGCCTTCTTGGTGGTGACCCCTCGGCTCTGGAACTCCCTCCCACTAGAGATTAGATCTGCCCCTTCTCTCCTGACTTTTAGGAAGCTACTAAAATCTTGGCTTTGGAATATGGCATTTGATGATTGAGTCAATAACCCTTGTCCACACAGAGGGATGGTGATGAATTGTGACTTCATTTGATGACCTGGCTTGTGTAATTTTATGATGGTATTTTAATGTATTTTATGTTTCAATGTGTAATAAGAATGCACTGTATTGTTTTTATATTATTGTATACGAATATGTGTTGTGAACTGGCCTGAGTCCTTCTTCGGAGGTCGAGAAGACCGGTATATAAAACTTCTAAATAAATAAATAAATAAATAAATAAATTGTATGTCCCGGGATGTATAGTTCACCTACAATCTAAGAACTGCACTCTGAACTCCACCAACGATTAACCAATCAGAGAGCGTTCCTTGCCTTCACTGCAGATGTCAGCTCTCCAATGGCCAGCCAAGGGGGCTGGATGACCATTCACAGGAAGACATAGTTCTATGAATGGATTATGTGGTCCTAACACATGCCCCGAGCCCCTCCATTGGGAGAAAAGTGAGAATGAAAATAAAGTAAATACGTAAATAAAACAACACAAAAAATCAAAACAACTTGGTTTTAAAGGGCAGAGAGAGAGAGAGAGAGAAAACATGTTGAGAAGAAGGGAAGTGTCCAGTTTATTAGATGGCATACGCGATCCCATACCATTGACCCATGGTAGTGAAACAGATGCCAAACTGCATTAATCCTACAATGTAGATGCATCCCCAGATAAAGAGCAACGTTAGTATAAATGCCGGAAAGAAAGAAAGAAAGAAAGAAAGAAAGAAAGAAAGAAAGAAAGAAAGAAAGAATAGTGGAAAGCATCAGCAACCAGACCCAGGAATAGCTGTGTCTCCTGTATCTGGAATCACAAGGGAATGCTATGTATGGATGAACCACATTTACTGGATTATCCCCTGTGCTGGAGCATATTAAATCCAAATGAAAGTGAGATAAAAATCGTCACTATTCAAAAGTATTGGTTCTTGGGAGTGCTCCTGGATCTGTCCCTCCAAATGTCAGCCAAGGTAGATGCCATGGTGAGGAGTCTACCAGTCTAGACGGATAGGCCAGCTGCATCCCTTCCTAGATCAGGAGGACCTAAAGATGGTGGGACACACGTTAGTAATCCCAAGGCTGGACTTCTGCAGTGTGCTCCACACTGGCCTACCCTTGTACTTGTTAGGATTTTCTGTGCTCTATGGGGAAGCTACCCATAAATATAGCAGAGCATCCGAAATACAAACAGGATACTAGGGCTGAGCATTCATTTCACAGCAAGCAGAGCGAGAAGTATTGAGGGTGGAAAAGAATTTAGAGCTTAGGAGGCAATGATCCAGAGTTCAATCTTTCAAAATACAAAATATGTATTTACAAAAATAATAACTACATTCCTTAAAAATAAAGAACTGGGTCTGAGCTACTCTACCTCTATCTGTCTAGCATTCCAAAAAGAGAGGGGAAAGTTTCTTAGCACTACAACTCTCCTGACACACACAAACAGGGAAAGATCTCAATACACAATACAATCTAATTGCACCTCCTTCTTGAATGACCAGGCAAGAGCTGCAAGGATCACGCTCAGAAATCTTTATTATCTGATTACAAACTAGTATGCACACTATAAAAATCTAAAATAGATTATAGATGACAGGGAAAAATCTCTTAGCACTACAACTCTCCTGACACACACACAGAAAGAGATCTCAATACACAATACAATTTAATTGCACGCCCAGCTGCAGGGATCAAGCTCGGAAATCTTTATTATCTGATTACAAACGAGTATGCACACTATAACAATCTAACATAAGACTATACAGATACAGTCGCCTCATTGACTTGTGTGATGTAAAGGAAGCTCAGTGCTATTCCTACGGGTCTTGCCACTTCTTAAGCATTTGAATGGCTTTTGGCCTGTGTGGGTTCTCTGATGGCAACAGAAGGCCTTTCGATTGCTAAAGCGCTTTCCACACTCCAGGCATTTATATGATTTCTGTCCTGTGTGGATTTTTTTGTGCACTTTAAGGTGGGAACTCTTGGTGAAGGACTTTCCACACTCCAGGCATTTGTAGGGTTTCTCTCCTGTGTGGATTCTTGTATGCTTAGTAAGGCTTACTTTCAAAGCAAAACTCTTTCCACACTCCAAGCATTGATATGGTTTCTCTCCTGTGTGGATTCTTCTGTGCAATTTAAGGCTTGAACTTGCAATGTAGCACCTTCCACAGTCCAGGCATTTATATGGTTTCTCTCCTGTGTGGATTCTTCTGTGCACTTTAAGGCTTGAATTTTCAATGTAGCACCTTCCACAGTCCAGGCATTTATGTGGCTTCTCTCCAGTGTGGATCTTCTTGTGGCGAGAAAGCTGGGCGCTCTGCCGGAAGCTCCTGTGACAATCCAAACATTTGTAGGGTTTCTCCCCTGTGTGGATTCTATTATGGTTCGTAAGGTGCTCTTTGACACGGAAGCTCTTCCCACATTCCACACATTTATATGGTTTCTCTCCCGTGTGGATTCTTGTGTGCGTATGAAGGCTTCCACTCAAACTGAAGCACATTCCACACTCCACGCATTTGTACGGTTTCTCTCCTGTGTGGACTATATTATGCACAGTACGACAGTTTTTCACACGGAAGCTCTTTCCACATTCCAGACATTTAAATGCTATCTCTCCTGTGCGGAGTTTTGTATGTAAATCAAAGTCTCCTCTCACACTGAAGCTCTTCCCACACTCCACACATTTATATGTATTTTCTATTGAGTGGATTCTTCTATGACTACTAAGACCTGCTCTCTCAGCAAAGGTCTTTCCACAATCCACACATTTGTACAATTTCTCTCCTGCGTGGGTTCTTTCATCCGCTTTCTCCCCATTCTCACTCTCCTTCTCATCTTTGCCTGGAACAGAAAGACAGAGAAATATTTCAATAGTGAAAGGTTACATCAGTGCCTCTGGCTTCAGCCCTTTCCCAAAACTTGCCGAATGACTGCTCTTTGGCACCGCTTCTCAGCTCCAGAAAGTATAATTTGGGACGCAGGTAAAGCTGTAATAAGAGGTCATCTTATTTGGTTAGAATTTTTTTTTAAAAAAAAGTGGAATACTTTAAGAAGAGAAAAGAAAAGATAGAAGAAATGGGGACCCTACAAAGACAACAACAGGTTAAATACAAGACGCAAATGCAAGATCAAATGCATTTGATCTTGAATTAGACCTATTTCAATATGGAAAAGAGATAATTTGGTAAAAATGAATTTCAAAGACCTAACATAAACTCATTGAAAAGGCTAGCAAAGTATTTAAGAGACAGAAAGGAAAAACAGAGGATCAAGGCCATAAAAGATGCAAAACAATTATCTTACACGCAGTTCAGCTCAAATAAGGGACGCTTTTGCTACCTTTCATCAAGGGTTGTATAGAGAAGCAAATAAGGGCCAACTAGAGGAATCAATAAACTCAAAATTAGATAAGGAAGAGCAACAATGATTAAACACTGAGATTTCAATTGAAGAAATAAAAGGAGTAATAAAAAACCTTCAAAAAGCTAAATCTCCAGGAATAGATGGATACACAGTAGAGTTTTACGAGGAATTTACTGAAATCTTGAGCCCTGAGTTACATATCCTATTTAACAATATTTTGAAAGGAGGGAAAGCACCTGATGCCTGGAGGAAAGATGAAATTATAGCTATTTTAAAGCCACAGAAAGACCCAAGGGAGACAGGATTGTACAGATCAATTAGCTTACTAAATCAGGATTATAAAATATTTGCAAAAATTTTAGCCCACAGATTGGAAAAAGTACTACCAAAATTAATAAAAATGGATCAATATGGATTTGTTAAAGGCAGATCTACTGGACACCTAATTTGAAATATATTAAATATAATTTAATTGGCTCCACTTCAAATGCCATGGCTCGATGCTGTGGAATCTTGGGAATTGTAGTGTTACAAAAACCTCCTCTGTCAAAGTGTGATTGTGCTGTGCCAAACTACAACTCCCAGGATTCCATAGATTTAGCCATGACAGCTAAAGAACTGCATTAATACTACAAGGTAGATGCTCCCTTGGTGAGCTTTTGGATCAGGTACTGCAAGTCCCATCGTCCATGGTGTATCCTCCTCCAAACCGCACCAGGATGTAGAGTGCATCATGGAGACCAGGTGTGCCAAGTTTGGTCCTTATCGGAAATTGGATGATGGTTGCAGTGGTCTCAGGAATGAGGAATTGTGGGAGTTGAAGTCCAAAACACCAGAAGGGCAAAGTTTGCCCATGCCTGATCCAAAAGCTCACCAAGGGTGCATCTACCTTGTAGTATTAATGCAGTTCTTTAGCTGTCATGGCTAAATCTATGGAATCCTGGGAGTTGTAGTTTGGTGTTTTGGACTTCAACTCCCACAATTTCTCACACTTGGAGGGCTGAAGTTTGCCCATGCATGTGTTACATCCTTCTTGATGTTGTGTCCTGGTTTCCATAGTCATAGACTAATGCTCAAACCAACACAACACGCAAGCTTACATTCTGTGTTGTTTGCCATATGTATTGTACCCCTAACAGGTCCAATCTTCCACCCAAATTATCTTCCCCAAATACTGCCACACTCCCTCCTTAACCTAAGGAAAGAGAGATGGAAACGACAGGCTTTGGGATACCTGATAAAGAGGGACGAAGAGGAAGCAGGCTCCACTCGTTTTCGCTCAGCACCGTTGCGCTCCCGTTGCCCTCCTCCTTCACCACCCACTGAAAGGGTGTCTCCTGCTTGGTGTCCGGCTCAACCTCATTGGCTTCTCCTGCTGAGTTTACTTTGCATTGCTCTGGCTGTACATTAGGGCTAAGAGCATCCTCCTCGGGGATCTTCTCCCCAGCAATTCTCCAGGGTCCGCCATCGCTTCTCCCAGCCGGGGTGACATCAAGGTCTTCTCCAGGTTCCTTTTTGCATTGCTCTGGCTGTACATCGGGACCAAGAGCGTCCTCCTGAGGGATCTTCTCCCCAGCAATTCCCCAGGGTCCGCCATCGCTTCTCCCAGCTGGGGTGACATCAAGGTCTTCTCCTGGTTCCTTTTTGCATTGCTCTGGCTGTACACCAGGGCCAAGAGTGTCCTCCTCGGTGATCTTCGCCCCAGCAATTCCCCAGGGTTCGCCATCACTTCTCCCAGTCGGGGTGACATTAAGGTCTTCTCCTGGTTCCTTTTTACATTGCTCTGGCTGTACATCAGGGCCAAGAGCGTCCTCCTCGGGGATCTTCTCCCCAGCAATTCCCCAGGGTCCGTCATCGCTTCTCCCAGCCGGGGCAACATCAAGGTGTTCTCCTGGTTCCTTTTTGCATGGCTCTGGCTGTACATCAGGGTCAAGAGAGTCCTCCTTGGGGATCTTCTCCCCAGCAATTCCCCAGGGTCCGCCACTGCTTCTCCCAGCCAGGGTGACATCAAGGTCTTCTCCTGGTTCCTCTTTGATCACTGACGTGTTGCAGTTAAACATCTTCTCACAGTGAAAGCAAGATCAAGCTGATTCTATTCTGTAGTATAGAGTTACACACAAGACCAAAAAGTAAGGCATTATAATGACAACCTGATCCATCCCTGTCTGATGATGCTGAAGGGATGACCAAGCAGGCTTGGGAAATGCAAGTGGAGGGTGCATCTACACGGTACAATTAAAGAGGTTTGATACCACTTCCACTGACCTGGCTGAGTGCTTCTGGAATGAGCTTCGTGTATTCCAAGTAGACTGGAATGTACTTAGTCCTAATCTTTTTTTTTAAATACTGGTTTTGAACAACTTCATTGGAAGTGTTGCAATAGCAGATTCCCAGATTAGTTTAGTGTTTACACCATATTTTATTTTTATTTAATATTTATTTTGTTTAAGTGATATTTGTCTTTACACTTCTAATGTAGCACAAATCTTCTGTAACGGTTCTGGCCCAGTTTACTTGTTTGAACGTATCTTTCGCTATGATCCACCTAAGGCCCTAAGATCATCTGAGGAGACCCTGCTCATTGTCCCCCATTGTCGCAATCGCGTTTGGTGGGGACAAGGGACAGGGCCTTTTCTGTGGTGGCCCCTCGGCTATGGAACTCCCTCCCGAGTGAAATTAGATCGACTGCATCCCTCTTATCCTTCCAGAAAAAGTAAAATCTTGGCTATGGGATCAGGCTTTTGGAGAGTAGGCTGACTTGCTAACGTGCTGACTTATATAGAACTGATGGACTGCCCCTGGATAATGTTTAAATCGGTGATCGCTGACTTTGTTGTCTGTTTTTATACTGTTTTTATATTATTTATTTATTTATTTATTTATTTATTGCATTTGTTGACCGCCGTTCTCAGCCCTTTCGGGCGACTCACGGCGGTGTACAACATATAAAAACAGTTTACAATACAACCCTCATACAACACAGTATACACGTAACATCAATAATACAACAATAATTACTCTAAATCATCCGCGTCGTCTCATCGTAGAATCATAAACCAATCTCGTATTCCATATTCCGTTCCAGTCATCCAGCCAATTGTTGTAGCAGTTAATTGAACGCCTGCTCGAATAGCCATGTCTTTAAGCTCTTGCGGAATGACATAAGGGAGGGCGCCTGTCTGATGTCCACAGGGAGGGTGCTCCACAGCCGGGGCGCCACCACCGAGAAGGCCCTATCTCTCGTCCCCGCCAACGTGCCTGTGAGGCAGGCGGGATCGAGAGAAGGGCCTCCCCAGATGATCTCAAGGTCCTCGTGGGCTCATAGGCCGAGATGCGGTCAGAAAGGTATTTTGGGCCGGAACCGTTTAGGGCTTTGTAGGCCAGCACCAGCACCTTAAATTGGGCCCGGTAGCAGATCGGCAGCCAGTGGAGCTGGAACAACAAGGGCGTTGTGTGCTTCCTGCGTCCCGCTCCTGTTAGTAACATGGCTGCGCGCGCTGGACTAGCTGAAGCTTCCGGGCCGTCTTCAAGGGCAGCCCCACGTAGAGAGCGTTGCAGTAGTCAAGGCGGGATGTGACCAGAGCGTGTACCACCGTGGCCAAGTCAGACTTCCCGAGGTACGGGCGCAGCTGGCGCACGAGCCGAAGCTGTGCAAATGCTCCCCTGGTCACCGCTGAAACCTGGGGATCCAGGCTCAACGATGAATCCAGGATCACACCCAAGCTGCGAACCTGCGCCTTCAAGGGGAGTGCGACCCCATCCAGCACAGGCTGTAACCCTATGCCCTGTTCGGCCTTGCGACTGACCAGGAGTACCTCTGTCTTGTCTGGATTTAATTTCAGTTTGTTCGCCCATATGGTTTTGTCCATATGGTTTTATACCAAGCCATCTTCCCTCTCTCCTGAGGAATCTGTACAAGGACCAAGTAGCAACAGTCAGAACTGGCCATGGAACAACAGACTGGTTCAAGACTGGGAAAGGCGTACAGCAGGGTTGTCTACTCTCCCCCGACCTATTCAACTTGTATGCAGAACACATCATGCGAGATGTGCGGGGCTTGATGAATGGCAAGCTGGGGTGAAAATTGCTGGAAGAAACATTAACAACCTCAGATATGCAGATGACACCACTCTGATGGCCGAAAGCGAGGAGGAGCTGAGGAGCCTTCTAATCAAGGTGAAAGAATAAAGCGCAAAAGCCGGGTTGCAGCTAAACATCAAAAAAACCAAGATTATGGCAACAAGAATGATTGACAACTGGAAAATAGAGGGAGAAAATGTGGAGGCCGTGACAGACTTTGTATTCTAGGCGCAAAGATGACTGCAGATGCAGACTGTGGCCAGGAAATCAGAAGACGCTTCCTTCTTGGGAGGAGAGCAATGTCCAGTCTCGATAAAATAGTGAAGAGCAGAGACATCAGACTGGCAACAAGATCCGCATAGTCAAAGCCATGGTACTCCCTGTAGTAACCTACGGATGTGAGAGCTGGACCTTAGGGAAGGCTGAGCGAAGGAAGAGAGATGCTTTTGAGCTGCGGTGTTGGAGGAAAGTTCTGAGAGTGCCTTGGACTGCGAGAAGATCCAACCAGTCCATCCTCCAGGAAATAAAGCCCGACTGCTCATTGGAGGGAAGGATACTAGAGACAAAGTTGAAGTACTTTGGCCACATCATGAGGAGACAGAAAAGCTTAGAGAAGACAATTATGCTGGGGAAAGTGGAAGGAAAAGGAAGAGGGGCCGACCAAGGGCAAGATGGATGGATGGCATCCTTGAAGTGACTGGATGACCTTGAAGTAGCTGGGGGTGGTGACGGCCGACAGGGAGCTCTGGCGTGGGCTGGTCCAAGAGGTCACGAAGAGTCGGAGACGACTGAACGAATGAACAACAACATTGAAATCTGAAATATATACAGAAAGTCTTTACTTGGGAATTACTTGTAGTCCTGGGAGTTGTGGTGCCTGCAAGGTCTTGAGCCTCCTCCTTCCCCCCAAACTACAACTCCCAGGGCTCCATAGCACTCAGCCATGACAGTTCCAAAGTGGGGCCAATCTGCACCCTTACTTACCAAAAGTAACGAGTTCCTAGTAACGACACTGCAGGCAACGCGTACCTTCCTTCCTTCCAGCTCTCCTCTTCCCCCAGTTTGGAAAAGAACTGCTTCCTTCTCTTTGCTGGCCACGCCCCCTCTCCCCCTTTGACCAATCAGCAGCACGTGTGGGGAGAGCTCCTACCAATGTGGTTCTTTTCCAGCTTCTGATTCAGTGGGGTATCCCCGGAAATGACGTTGGGGATTCCCTCCCCTCTTCTCTAGGGCTGCCCACTCTGTCATTTTAACCCTTTCTAGACCAGCAATAGTAGAACAAACTATAATCTATGGCTATCTATCTATCTATCTATCTATCTATCTATCTATCTATCTATCTATCTATCTATCTATCTATCCACCCACCCATCCCTCAATCTCTTCCATCCATCCATCCATCCATCCATCCATCCATCCATCCATCCATCCATCCATCTATCTTATCTATCCATCCATCCATCCATCCATCCATCCATCCATCCATCCATCTATCTTATCTATCCATCCATCCATCCATCCATCCATCCATCCATCCATCCATCTATCTTATCTATCCATCCATCCATCCATCCATCCATCTATCTAATCTATCTATCTATCTATCATCCATCCATCCATCCATCCATCCATCCATCTATCTATCTATCTATCTATCTATCTATCTATCTATCTATCATCTTCTATATAAATAAAAATGTAATGTTCGTTTGTGGGATTGACATAACTCAAAAATCACTGGACAAATTGACACCAAATTTGGACACAATGCACCTAACAACCCAATGTATGTCCTTCACTCAAAAAAAATGATTTTGTCATTTGGGAGTTGTAGTTGCTGGGATTTATAGTTCACTTACAATCACAGAGAATTCTGAACCTCACCAACGATGGAACTGAACCAAACTTGGCACACAGTTCTCCCATGACCAACAGAAAATACTGGAAGGGTTTGGTTGGGAGTGTCCTTTGGTTTTGGAGTTGTAGTTCATCTGCATCCAGAGATCACTGTGGACTCAAACAATGATGGATCTGGACCAAACTTGCCACGAATCCTCCATATGCCCAAATACGAACACAGATGGAGTTTGGGGGGAATAGACCTTGACATTTGGGAGTTGTAGTTGCTGGGATTTATAGTTCACCTATAATCAAAGAGCATTCTAAACCCCACCAAGGTTAGAATTGGGTCAAACTTCCCACATAGAACCCCCATGACCAACAAAAAATACTGTGTTTTCTGATGGTCTTTGGCAACCCCTCTAATACCCCTTTATGACCTCTGCAGGGGTCCCAACCCCCAGGTTGCGAAATGGTGCCTTAAGGCCATCCAGTCCAACTCCCTTCACCAGGGCAAGAAAACATTACCAAAAGAGCCATCCAGCCATAAGTATAGATAGATATGATTCACACACATATACGTATATGACAGATATAGTATCATATACGTAGTGACAGGGACCACTAAAGAAGGACAATTAAATATTGCATGTTCCAGAGTAGGCAAACCAGACAATCTCTACATCAACACTGACAAAGAAGCAAGAAGAAATACTGTTGACCCATAAGCATCAAGAACAAATACTGTTGACCCACAAGCATTAGAAACCAACAGTTTCTCATTACTTTATTTTCCAGATCACCAGACCGGGCCACAGCAACGCGTGGCTGGGGACTGCTAGTATATAAATAAAAATGTAATGTTCGTTTGTGGGATTAGCATAACTCAAAAACCACTGGGCGAATTGACACCAAATTTGGCCACAAGACATCTATCAGGCCCACGAGTGACCATCACTCACAAAAACACTGAAAAACACACCAGAAAAGACTTAAAAAGCCAGAAAACAAAAAATACATTACAACTTGTGCAAAACTACATATATATTATGCAAACACACATATACACAAATATATAAACACATATATACACACACAAAACATATATGCACAGACTGGGCCACAGCAATGCGTGGCAGGGGATAGCTAGTATATATACACACATACGTACATACACACACAAACCCCCATATTAAAAGTGAAAATATGTATGTTTGTGTGTTGCTGGGGTGTCCACTTACAGGGACAAGCTCCCACTTCCACAAACAGCTCTAGCTCCCTCCCACAGCTCAGGAGACACCAATGGCCCTCCCTCCAATGACATTGTAGGTTATGGTGAGTGCCATGAACATGTCCAAGAACCCTGCCAATGTCCTCCATAGGCACCATGCTGGCCCCCACCCAAGTGAAGGAGTTGTATGTCCAGGGATGTATGGTTCACCTGCAATCTAAGAACTGCGCACTGAACTCCACCAGCGATGGACCTGGAACTCACTTGGCACACAGAACCCTCATGACCAACAACAAATACTGGCAGTCCTTGAAGGGATTTTTAGGAGTTGTAATTCACCTCCACCCAGAGAGCACTGTGAACTCAAACAACGATGGATCTGGATCAAACTTGGCATACATACCCGATATGCCCAAATTGGAATACTGGTGACTTTTGAGGTACTGGGATGTATAGTTCACCTGAAATCAGTGAGCACTCTGAACTCCACCCAAGATGGAGCTGGACCAAACTTGGTATGCATACCTGATATGCCCAAATTGGAATACTGGTGGGTTTTGACGTACTGGGATGTATAGTTCACCTGAAATCAGTGAGCACTCTGAACTCCACCCAAGATGGAACTGGATCAAACTTGGCATACATACCCGATATGCCCAAATTGGAATACTGGTGGGTTTTGAAGTACTGGGATGTATCGTTCACCTGAAATCAGTAAGCACTCTGAACTCCAACCAAGATGGAGCTGGATCAAACTTGGCATACATACCTGATCTGCCCAAATTGGAATACTGGTGGATTTTGAAGGGAAATGGCCTGTACATTTTGGAATTGGAGGTACTGGGATGTATAGTTCACCTGCAATCAATGAGCACCCTGAATTCCACTAAAGATGGTACTGGACCAAACTTGGCACACATAATCCCCATGACCAGCAAAAAATACTGGAGGTGTTTGGGGAAAATTCACCTTGATTTGGGGGAGTTGTAGTTTACCTACATGCAGACACTGTGAACCCAAACACCGATGGATCTGGACCAACCTTGGCACAAATACCTGATATAATAAATTTGATTCCTGGATGGGGTTTTTTTTTGGGGGGGGGGGAGAACTGACCTTCCTTTCTGTGAGTTGTAGTTCACCCACAACCAGGGAATCTGTGACTTCCACCGATGATGGACCTGGACCAAACTTGTCACACAGAACCCCCATGACTAACTCACCATAGTGGGAGTTGTAGTTTACCCTACAGCCAGAGAGCACACTGAACTTCACCATGTTGCATCCAGAGCAAACTTGCCCAAGTACTGATGGAGTTTCTTGAGGTTGACCTGGCACGATGTCAGTTGGAGTTAATCCACAACCTAATGCATTTTGTACAATTAGAAATAGACTTTTTCAAACTCCATTAATCCTACAATGTAGATACACCCCCAGATAAAGAGCAACGTAAGTGGAAAGAATCAGCAACTAGATCCAGGAATAGCTGTATCTCCTGTATCTGGAATCACAAGCAAAATGCTACGTATGGATGAATCACATTCACTGCATTACCCTGTGCTGGAGCATATCAAATCCAAATGAAAGTGAGATAAAAATAATAACTATTCCAAAGTATTGGTTCTTGGGAGTGCTCCTGGATTCGTCCCTCCAAATGTCAGCCAAGGTAGATGCCATGGTGAGGAGTGCTGACTACCAGTTTAGGCAGATAGGCTAGCTGCACCCCTTCCTAGATCAGGAGGACCTGAAGATGGTGGGATACACGTTAGTGACCCCAAGGCTGGACTTCTGCAATGTGCTATACATTAGTTTACTCTTGTACCTGTTAGGATTTTCTGTGTTGTTAGGGGAAGCCACTCAAAAATATAGCAGAGCATCCAAAATACAAACAGGATACTTAGTGCTGAGTATTCAGTTCACAGCAACTTACCGCACACTCCTTTTGCTATATCACCAGCCAGGGCCATGTTTGAACAATGATGCCATCCAGTTCTTGTGGGTTTTTTCGGGCTATATAGCTATTTTCTAGAGGCATTTCTCCTGACGTTTCGCCTGCATCTATGGCAAGCATCCTCAGAGGTGAGGTCTGCTGGAACTGGGAAAAAAAGGGGTTTATATATCTGTGGAATGACCAGGGTGAGACAAAGGGCTTTTGTAAGTTGGGCTAGGTGTGAATTAGCAGTGTTCTTGCCATACATCAAGGGAACCACTGACCGCTTAGGGAAGCTGATGAGGAAACACAACATACAAACAATCTACAAACCCACCAAGAAAATCCAAAAAATGCTCCGTTCAGCAAAGGACAAGAGGGATCCTCTCACCTCTGCAGGAGTCTACCGTATACCATGCAGCTGTGGACAAGTCTACATAGGGACCACCAAACGCAGCGCCCAAACACGAATCAAGGAACATGAAAGGCACTGCAGACTACTTCAACCAGAGAAATCAGCCATAGCAGAGCACCTGATGAACCAACCTGGACACAGCATATTATTTGAGAACACAGAAATGCTGGACCACTCTCACAACCACCATGTCAGACTACACAGAGAAGCCATTGAAATCCACAAGCATGTGGACAATTTCAACAGAAAGGAGGAGACCATGAACATGAACAAAATCTGGCTACCAGTATTAAAAAACTCTAAAATTACAACAGCAAAACAGCAGAGAGGAAACAACCAGGCCCATCTTAACACCTCTCAACAAAAGATTTTCCCAGGCTCAGCCAGGCCTTCAAATGCTAATCAAGGTGGTCAGTTGAAACATTCACACCTAGCTCCAGCAGAGAAGAGTCCTTTGTCTCACTCTGGTCATTCCACTTTCCTAGTTCCAACAGACCTCACTACCTCTGAGGATGCTTGCCATAGATTCAGGCGAAACGTCAGGAGAGAATGCCTCTAGAACATGGCCCTATAGCCCGAAAAAACCCACAAGAACCTAGAGTGTGAAGTGTTGAGGGTGGGAAAGCATTTAGAGCTTATGAGGCAACAATCCAGAGTTCAATCTTTCGAAATATGAAAGGTTTCTGCAATGTAATGCAATGCAGGGGGAGGGGAATATTACAGTATGTGTATAATGTCAGGCAGACATGAGGTGATGAGGCTATATGGGGGAAGTGTGGAATCGAACCTCACAAACTCAGTGACTTGTTAGTCATGCTTGGAACACACTTTCTCTGTCTCTGTGTATATTTCTTCAATGTGTAATCCAAACCTGGATCCAATATGTAACTTCTTAACTTCTCCTCACAGGTTTACTTCAATGTATTCACAGACTGACTTTCAGCCGTACAGCTTTAATCCAGTAACTTGACACAAAGTCTTTAATATATATATGTTGAAATAAATAAATGTTTATTTATGAATTGTTCTGCACATAAACTTATCTGTTACAAAGTACGTTACTTCAGTTCCACCTGGATATGACTGTAACTGTCTTTCACTCCTTTCAATACATAAAATTGTTATTTTATAACTTTCTAACACTTAACTTGTTTCTGCTCTTTTGCTCTGTAAAGCAAAAGAATACAACATAAAATCATAAATTAACACAACAAATAGAATAAAATAAAATAAAATAAAAAATGCAAGGTAAAACATAAATAACAAAACAATAACCAAGTGGGCAGGGCTAAATACAACAAATAGGATTTTAAAACCCTGGGTGAGATGGATGAGTAAGGTAATATATCTGGTGGGAGGTTCGGATGGGACAAACAATGGGATTTACTTCACTGAAGGGTGAGATAAAGTGCATCAAAAGACATTATGCTGAGTTGGTCAAGATGAGGGACTTGTTGTTTAATCCTCAAAGGCACACCAGAACAGCCAAGTGTTTAGATTAGGCGAATGCCAGTGTGGGGGTTTGACTAATCTCAACGGGTAGCGAGTTCCAAAGTCTAGGGGCAACCACAGAGAAGGCCCTCTCCCTCTTCCCCACAAGTTGCGCCTGCGACAGGGGTGGGAGTGAAAGGAAGGCCCTCCTGTATGATCAAAGGGATAACAATCTAAAAGGGTTGAATGAGAAGTAATGCCTACACCTTTGTAACTCCTCAACAGATGGCAGTACTGGTATGTGCCAGGTGCTGGCTTGTTCAGTAGACTCTCATCTACAGTTCCATTTTGGCAGGAAGCCTTAGCATTGAATGGTTGTGGTGGTAAAGTGCAAAGTATAGAACCCTGCGCAGACGGTTGGTCAATGTGACTTAAGCAAGGTGCAGTCATTGAATTCTTGACAGCAGAAGGTGTCACCCCAAAGGAGATTCATCAGAGAATGCAAGCTGTTTATGGCGATTGTGTTGATGTGAGTACTGTGTGTCGTTGGGCGAGTAAGTTTAACGATGTTGAGGTAGGAACATCTGACTTGTATGACAAACAAAGAGTTGGACGTCCTGTGACAGCAACCACCGAGTTTCACAAACAAAAGGTTGACAGATTGATTCAGGAGTGGTAGTTAAAGAGCACTTTCTAAGGATTATTTCTGCGTTTGATTTACGAAGGTAGTAACGAAGGTAGAGGCATTACTTTTCATTCAACCCTCGTAACATAGTCCATACAATATAGTCATCTCATTGACTTGTGTGATGTAAAGGAAGCTCTGTGATATTCCTACAGGTCTTGCCACTTGTGGTTTCTCTGATGGCAACACAAGGCACATTTATACGGCTTCTCCCCAGTGTGGATCTTCCTGTGGTGAGAAAGCTGGGCGCTCTGCCTGAAGCTCTTGTGACACTCCAAGCATGGGTAGTGTTTCTCCCGTGTGGGTTCTATTATGCTTCGTAAGATGCTCTTTGATACGGAAGCACACTCCGCACTCCACACATTTGTACGGCTTCTCTCCCGTGTGGATTCTGTTATGCACAGTAAGATACTCTTTCACACAGAAGCTCTTTCCACACTCCTGGCACTTATATGGTTTCTCTTTCATGTGGGTCCTTTCATGCAAACTGAGATTCCTCCTCGAACGGAAGCTCTTTCCACATTCCACACATTTATACGGTTTTTCTCCCGTGTGGGTTGTTTTGTGCGCATTAAGTTCCCATTTTGTACTGCAGCCCTTTCCACACTCCACACATTTGTGTGGTTTCTCTCCCGTGTGGGTTCTTTTATGTTGAGTAAGGTGTCCTTTCACACCGAAGCTCTTTCCACACTCCAAGCATTCATATGGTTTCTCTTTCGTGTGGGTCCTTTCATGCACACTGAGATTCGTCCTCGTGCTGAAGCTCTTTCCACACTCGACACATTTGTATGGTGTCTCTCCTGCGTGGGTTCTTGTATGCCCAGTAAGGTGTCCTCTCACAGCAAAACTCTTTCCACACTCCAGGCATTTATATGGTTTCTCTCCTGTGTGGATTCTTCTGTGCACTTTAAGGCTTGAACTCTCAGCAAAGCTCTTTCCACACTCCGCACATTTATAGGGTTTCTCTTTCGTGTGGGTTCTTTCATGCGCACTGAGATTCGTCCTTGCACTGAAGCTCTTTCCACATTCCACACATGTATATGGTTTCTCTCCTGTGTGGATTCTTCTGTGCATTTTGAGGGATGCATTCCCAGTGAAGCTCTTTCCACATTCCACACATGTGTACGGTTTCTCTCCCGTGTGGGTTCTTTTGTGCATATTAAGTTTCCATTTTGTAGCGCAGTCCTTTCCACACTCCACACATTTATAAAGCAGATTTTCCCCCGTATGGGTTCTTTTGTGTTCATTAAGTTTCCATTGGGTAGTGCAGCCCTTTCCGCACTCCACACATTTATACGGTTTCTCTCCTGTGTGGGTTCTTGTATGTACAGTAAAGTGTCCTCTCTCCCTGAAGCTCTTTCCACACTCCTGGCATTTATATGGTTTCTCTCCAGTGTGGATTCTTCTGTGCACTTTCAGGTATGCTTTCTCAGTGAAGGACTTTCCACACTCCAGGCATTTATGATGCGGTTTTTCTCCCGTGTGGGTTTTTTTGTGATCATTAAGATTCCATTTGGTACTGTAGCTCTTTCCACAATCCACACATTTATACGGTTTCTCTCCTGTGTTGATTTTTTTATACGCATTCTCCTCCTCCTTACTCTCGCTCCCATCTTTGCCTGAAAAAGAAAGACAGAGAAATATTTCAATAGTGAAAGGTTACATCAGTGGCTCTGGCTTCAGGCCCCTTCCCAAAACCTGCAGATGACTGCTCTTTGACACCACTTCAACTGCCATGGCTCAATGCTGTGGAATCTTGGGAATTGTAGTGTTAAAAGAACCTCCTCTGCCGAAGTGTGATTGTGCTGTGCCAAACTACAACTCCAAGGATTCAATAGATTGATCTATGACAGCTAAAGTCCTGTCAAACTGCATTAATGCTAGAAGGTAGATGCATCCTTGGTGAGCTTTGGGATCAGACATGGGCAAACTTTGCTTTTCTGATGTTTTGGACTTCAACTCTCACAATTCCTCGATCTGTTAGGAATTGTGTGAGTTAAAGTCCAAAACACTTGGAGGCCCAAAGTTTGCCCATGCCTGTATTACATCCTTCTTAATGTTGTGGTCAACCCCCCTGTTTAAGGAGCTCCACTGGCTGCCGTTCATTTTCCAGTCCCAATTCATGGTGCAGGTCTTACCTACAAAGCCCTGAACGGTTTGGGACCTGCCTATCTGCATTACTGCATTTCTGTGTACAAACCCACACAATCTCTTCGATCATCTGGAGAGGCCCTGCTCGTGCTCCCACCTCCTTCGCAGGCGTGATTGCTGGGGCCGAGGGAGAGGGCCTTCTCAGTGGTGGCCCCTCGACTCTGGAACTCACTTCCCAAGGACATCAGACATGCCCCAACGCTGGCAGTCTTTAGGAGGAGCCTGAAAACTTAGTTGTTCCAGTGTGCCTTCCCAGAATAAGGAAAACGCTTAGCAGTATGTCCTCAAAATGCACTTTAACATTGATTTAGGATTGCCTGCGCACCCTCATCTTTCTTTGAAAACCCTATCCTAGTTGTATCCTATCTTGTTCATGCCCAGCATTATTTTTTTAATTTTTAAATTATTACATTTGGCCCGGCCATAGGTTTTTAAATGCTTGTATGTTGTTGTTATTGTTTATTTTTAGTTTATGAGATTTATTTTAACTGTTTTGTATTTATTATTTTGTTATTGCCTTTGTTTATTGATATACTGTGGGATTGGCTTCATGTAAGCCGCACCGAGTCCCTTGGAGAGATGGTAGCAGGGTATAAATAAAGTATTACTATTATTATTATTATTATTATTACTCCCACAATTCCTCAGCCTGTTAGGAATTGTGGGAGTTAAAAGTCCAAAACACTTGGAGGTCAAAGTTTGCCCATGCCTGTATTACATCCTTCTTGATGTTGTGTCCTGGTTTCCATAGTCATAGACTAATTCTCAAACCAATACAACACGCAAGCTTACTTATTATATCCTATCCATTTTCGGTTTCATTATTGGCTCTTCCAGACCTGAGTAAATGCTACTATTACCTGGTGGTATTTTCTGCTAGAAGTTCTTTCTTTGGTTGTCTTGGGGAAAAATCAGCAGCAACACATAACTACTCAGAGAGTTCCCAAATTCCAGGAAGTTATATAGGAAAAAGCCCCCCCCCCCTTTAAAAGAACAAGCCAAAGAAAGGGTTCACTCTAGACATTGTGTAATCTGAAATCCTATTTTTCTTATCTAAAATGAATCACAGAATCATAGAATTGGAAGAGACCTCATGGGCCACCCAGTCCAACTACTCCAGCTATTACAAAGATAACCACCTGAAGCCTAACCCTGCCAAGACACAAGTGTGTGCTTTCCACCTACGGAACCATGAAGCCAACAAGAAAATTTAAAATTACCTGGAAAGGTCAAGAGCTTGAACACTGTTTCCAACTCGAATATCTTGGTGTCACCTTAGATGGGACACTAACATAGGAAACACTGCATGAACACCAAGCACAAAGTATCTGCACGCAATAGCATCCTGTGGAAACTTATTGGCAGCACATGGGATGCAGACCCAAAATCAAGAAGAACATCATCCCTAGTCTTGTCTTACCCAACTGCCGAGTATGCCTACCCTGTTTGGCACAAGTCTGCCTGTTCTGCCTCTGTGATACTTGGGTTGGATAGGAAGGAATTTTACACAAAGGACAGATCGGAGGCTGTACGTAAAGTAAAATAATGTCTATTTAAACAAAGTGAATTTCCTTTCCTTTGGTTGCCACTGTATGAAAGGAAACCCTATGATCTTCTGCAGCCCTGTACTTATCCAAAATATGACTGCCTTTATTTTACTAAATAGATATTAGATGTGACCTCTAGGACTTCATTACCTATAACTATAATGTCACTATCTATATCTTATCTTTATCTAAATACTCTATAACTATCTATGTATCTATTAACGCCGAAGTGATTATTATTACTATTATTTTAATATCTATTAACTCCGACATCATGAGACATCATGAGAAGAAAGGAAAGCTTAGAGAAGACAATGATGCTGGGGAAAGTGGAAGGCAAAAGGAAGAGGGGCCGACCAAGGGCAAGATGGATGGATGGCATCCTTGAAGTGACTGACTTGACTCTGAAGGAGCTTGGGGTGGCCACGGCCAACAGGGAGCTCAGGAGTGGGCTGGTCCATGAGGCCACAAAGAGTCAGAAACAACTAAACGAATGAACAACAACATTAACTCCGAGGTGACTAGCTTTAGTTCCGATATGACTACTAATACATGTCCGACGTGACATGGATTTTTGCTCTCTTTCTGCCCCTCTGCTACCTTCCAATGCAAAACTCCAACTGATTTCCTAACTGATTTCCTGTCAAAACTGTTATTCTAAAGCAGGCTTGAGCTGAGGCTTGAGATCCTCTTCCCTCCTCCTTAAAGGCACAGGGAAGATTATGAATTCTGCCTCTGGAGGCAAAACACTGCCCTTGCGAGGCAGGTGAACGTAGTACTGAATAATCACAGGATGTCTTAAACCCCTGTTGATACTCTACAGGATAGCTGGCAGTGCCCCCCCCCCCCCCGATGTGCAATGGGAAGTTGCTACTAACTGTGAGAGAAATAAGGTTGAACACTGTGAAAGCCACCCACTGCATGGCTACCAGCCTCCTCCCAGTAGACTCAAATAAAGGAAAAGCCACATGAGTACCACCACTCCTCCTCTTAACATTTCCCCAGCAAAAGCAAGAGTATCCTTCGTGGCAACTAAACCAGGAAATCCCAAATCCCTCCAGGGGCAAAACAAGAATGGGCAACTTTGAAGTCCCTAAACTGTCTCAGAAGTGGAGTGAGCAGATCAACAGACAACCTTGCAAAATGGCTCTACCTTGAAGAATCCTCCACCTTGAGTGACTGTGGAGCAGAACAATCAACTCTGTATCTCTATGCTTGTCCACAATGTCCTGCTTCATGTACAGAGGAAGAATTGTTTGAGGCTACAGACAATGCAGTCACTGTTGCCCATTTCTGGTCAAAAGATATTTAGCTGCTTGTGCTCCTTCTATTCTTATCAGTTTTATACTAGTATACGCAATGCTTTTGATACAAAATAAAAATTATTGCTTCCTTTATTTCTCTGTGATATTCCATTCCCTCTCTTTGCACTAAAACCACCATTGTATCGTCGAAGGCTTTCATGGCTGGAATCACTGCATTGTAGGTTTTTTTGGGCTATATGGCCATGTTCTAGAGGCATTACCTAGAACCACAATTTTTGTTATAACAAAAGAAACCACCATTCCTTTTGTTATAACCCAATCAGTTCCTAATATTTGGTTTGAATATATTTTGTGTTCACGTCCAGGAGTATTGTACCCCTAACAGGTCCAAATTGTCTTCCCCAAATACTGCCACACACTCTCCTTAACCTACCTGATAAAGAGGGACGAAGAGGAAGCTGGCTCCATTCGTTTTCGCTCAGCACCGTTGCGCCCCCGTTGCCCTCTTCCTTCACCACCCACCGGAGGGGTGCCCCCTGCTTGGTGTCTGGCTCAACCTCATTGGCCTCTCCTGCCAGAGGTATTTTGCATTGCTCTGGCTTTACATCGCGATGAAGAGAGTCCTCCTCAGGGGTCTTCTCCCCAGCAATTCCCCAGGGTCCGCCATTCCTTCTCCCAGCTGGGGTGCCATCACGGTCTTCTCCTGGTTCCTCTTTGCATTGCTCTGGCTTTACATCGGGGTCAAGAGCATCCTCTTTGGGGGTCTTCTCCCCAGCAATTCCCCAGGGTCCGCCATTGCTTCTCCCAACCAGGGCGACGTCAAGGTCTTCTCCTGGTTCCTTTTTGCATTGCTCTGACTTTACATCGGGGCCAAGAGTGTCCTCCTCGGGCGTCTTCTCCCCAGCAATTCCCCAGGGTCCACCATCACTTCTCCCAGCTGGGGTGACATCAAGGTCTTCTCCTGGTTCCTCTTTGCATTGCTCTGGCTTTACATCGGGGCCAAGAGTGTCCTCCATAAGAGTCTTCTCCCCAGCGATTCTCCAGGATCCGTCATCGCTTCCCACAGCCGGGGTGACGTCAAGGTCTTCTCTTGGTTCCTCTTTGATCACTGACGTGTTGCAGTTAAACATCTTCTGACAGTGAAAGCAAGGTCAAGCTGCATCTATTCTGTAGTATAGAGATTTTATTATTTATTTATTTACTACACTTAATATTTATTTATTTACTATTCTGCCCTTTTCAGCCCGAAGGTGACTCAGGGCAGAGTACAAGCAGGCAACAATTAGATGCCGAACACACATAAATACATCATTTAAAACAGGTTAAATCACATAATGTAAATCTATATAAATAAAATATAATGTTTGTTTGTGGGATTAACAAAACTCAAAAACCACTGGACGAATTGACACCAAATTTGGACACAAGACACCTAACAACCCAATGTATGTCCTTCACTCAAAAATGATTTTGTCATTTGGGAGTTGTAGTTGCTGGGATTTATAGTTCACCTACAATCTGAACCCCACCAACGATGGAATTGACAAACTTGGCACACATTTCTCCCATGATCAACAGAAAATACTTGAAGGGTTTAGTGGGCAGTGTCCTTTGGTTTTGGAGTTGTAGTTCACCTACATCCAGAGATCACTGTGGACTCAAACAATGATGGATCTGGACCAAACTCTACACGAATACTCAATATGCCCAAATGTGAACACTGGTGGAGTTTGGGGAAAATAGAATCTTGATATTTGGGAGTTGTAGTTGCTGGGATTTATAGTTCACCTACAATCACAGAGCATTCTGAACCCCACCAATGATAGAATTGGGCCAAACCTCCCACACAGAACCCCCATGTGGGCCACAGCAACGCGTGGCAGGGGACAGCTAATTAATAATAAAAAGGTTTAAAACAATTTAAAAAATCAATCACTTCCAGGTTAGAATCCATGTCCATTTGCATTGTTAAGCCAGTCCATCATGGTTCACAATACTGAATTGTCCGGTTACAATGAGGTTCCACAAGCTTGCTTGAAGAGCCAGGTTTTCACTCTTTTCCTAAAGATCAGGAGGGAGGGGGCCGATCTAATATCCCAAGGAAGAGAGTTCCAAGACCGAGGGGCCACCACTGAGAAGGCCCTGTCTCTCGTTCCCGCCAAGCACACCTGTGAGGCAGGACCGAGAGCAGGGCCTCCACGGATAATCTTAAAAATCCAGGAAGGTTCAAAAGGGGAGACACATTCGGATAGGTAAGTTGGGCCGGGAATTTAGGGCAGTGGTTCTCAACCTTCCTAATGCCACGACCCCTTAATACGCTTCCTCATGTTATGGTGACCCCCAACCATAAAATTAGTTCCATTGCTACTTCATAACTGTCATTTTGCTGCTGCTATGAATAATAATGTAAATATCTGATATGCAGGATGTATTTTCATACACTGGACCAAATTTGGCACAAAGACCCAATACACCCAAATTTGAATACTGGTGGGATTGGGGGAGCGTATTGATTTTGTCATTTGGGAGTTGCAGTTGCTGGGATTTATAGTTCACCTACAATCAAAGAACATTCCAAGCTCCACCAATGATGGAACCGAATCAAACTTGGCACACAGAACTCCCATGACCAACAGAAAATACTGGAAGGGTTTGGTGGGCACTGACCTTGAGTTTTGGGAGTTGTAGTTCACCTACATCCAGAGATCACTGTGGACTCAAACAATGATGGATCTGGATCAAACTTGGCACGAATTCTCAATATGCCCAAATGTAAGCACTGGTGGAGTTTGGGGAAAATAGACCTTTACATTTGGGAGTTGTAGTTGCCGGGATTTATAGTTCACCTACAATCAAAGAGCATTCCGAACCCTACCAATGATTGAATTGGGCCAAACTTCCCACACAGAACCACCATGACCAACAGAAAATACTGTGTTTTCTGGTGGTCTTTGGTGACCCCTCTGACTCCCCCTCGTGACCCCTCCAGGGGCACCGACCCCCAGGTTGAGAAACACTGATTTAGGGCTTTATAGGCCAAAGCCAGAACTTTGAAATGTGCAAATTGGTAGCCAGTGGAGCTGGCACAACAGAGGAGTTGTGTGCTCCTTGAGCGTTGCTCCCGATAGTAACCAGGCTGCCATCCGCTGGACCATTCGAAGCTTCTGGACAGTCTTCAAAGGCAACCCCACATAGAGTGCATTGCAGTAGTCTATAGGGCAGTGTTTCTCAATCTGGGGGTCGGGACCCCTGGAGGGGTCGCGAAGGGGTGTCAGAGGGTCGCCAATGACCATCAGAAAACACAATATTTTCTGTTGGTCATGGGGGTCTCTGTGTGGGAAGTTTGGTCCAATTCTATCATTGTTGGGGTTCAGAACGCTCCTTGATTGTAGGTGAACTATAAATCCCAGCAAGTACAACTCCCAAATCTCAAGGTCTATTTTCCCAAAACCCCACGAGTGTTCACATTTGGGCATATGGAGTATCCGTGCCAAGTTTGGTCCAGATCCATCATTGTTGGAGTCTAGAGTGCTCTCTGGATATAGACGAACTTCAACTCCCAAACCCAAGGTCCATGCCCACCAAACCCTTCCAGTATTTTCTGTTGGTCATGGGAGTTCTGTGTGCCAACTTTGGTTCATTTCCATTGTTGGTGTGGTTCAGAATGCTCTTTGTTTACAGGTTAACTATAAATCCCAGCAACTACAACTCCCAAATGGCAAAATCAATCTCCCTGCCAACCCTACCAGTATTCAAATTTGGGCATACCGGGTATTTGTGCCAAATTTGCTTCAGTGAATGAAAATACATCCTGCAGATCATTATTTACATGGCGAATCATAATGTTAGGGTTCTGGTTGGGGGTCACCACAACATGAGGAACTGTATTAAGGGGTCGCGGCATTAGGAAGGTTGAGAACCACTGCTATAGGGGATGGTCAAGTCAGACTTCCCAAGGTATAGGCCCAAAAAGTAAGGCATTATAATGACAACCTGATCCATCCCTGTCTGATGATGCTGAAGGGATGACCAAGCAGGATTGAGAAATGCAACTTGAGGGTGCGTCTACACAGCAGAATTAAAGCGGTTTGACACCACTTCCACTGCCCTGGCTGAATGCTATGGAGTCCTGGGAGATATGGTTTCTGCAAGGTCTTGAGCCTCCTCCTCCTTCTCCCCAAACTACATCTCCCAGGGCTCCACAGCACTCAGCCAGGGCACTTAAAAGTGGGGCCAATCTGCACCCTTACTTACTAAAAGTAACGAGTTCCTAGTAACGACACTGCAAGCAACCCATCACCTTCCTTCCTTCCAGCTCTCCTCTTCCCCCAGTTTGGAAAAGAACTCCTTCCTTCTCTTTGCTGGCCACGCCCCCTCTCCCCCTTTGACCAATCAGCAGCACGTAAGGGGAGAGTTCCTGCCAATGTGCTTCTTTCTCTCCACCTTCTGATTCAGTGGGGCATCCCCGGAAGTGACGTTGGGGATTCCCTCCCCTCTTCTCTAGGGCTGCCCACTCTGTCATTTTAACCCTTTCTGACACAATCTGGCTCCCAGTATTAAAAAACTCTAAAATTACAACAGCAAAACAGCAGAGAGGAAACAACCAGGCACATCTTAACACCTCTCAACAAAAGATTTTCCCAGGCTCAGGCAGGCCTTCAAATGCTAATGAAGGTGGTCAGTTGAAACATTCACACCTAGCTCCAGCAGAGAAGAGCTCTTTGCCCCCCCCCAGCCATTCCACAGATATATATAAACCCATTTTCCTACTCCCAACAGACCTCACTACCTCTGAGGATGCTTGCCATAGATGCAGGTGAAACATCAGGAGAGAATGCCCCTAAAACGGCCCTATAGCCCGAAAAAACCCACAAGAACCTAGTTACAACAAACTAATGTTTGAGAGCGATGGCTTTCTCTCTCTCTCTAAATATATACACACACATAATACAGTGGAAATATGTATGTTTGTGTGTGGCTCCTGCCTCCACAAACAGGAGATACCAATGGCCCTCCTTCCAATAACATTGCCGGTTGAATATGTCCTCCATCACCTATCAGATAGATTGCAAGCTATTTAACCTCAGCCCACTGAAAGCCTGTTTGCAACAACATCTGTTATACAACTCCAATATGCTGATGACAACGTCATCTGCGCACACTCAGAAGAAGACCTACAAGCCACTCTGAACATAGAATCATAGAATCAAAGAGTTGGAAGAGACCTCATGGGCCATCCAGTCCAACCCCCTTCTGCCAAGAAGCAGGAATATTGCATTCAAATCACCCCTGACAGATGGCCATCCAGCCTCTGTTTAAAAGCTTCCAAAGAAGGAGCCTCCACCACACTCCGGCAGAGAGTTCCACTGCTGAACGGCTCTCACAGTCAGGAAGTGCTTCCTCATGTTCAGATGGAATCTCCTCTCTTGTAGTTTGAAGCCATTGTTCCGCGTCCTAGTCTCCAAGGAAGCAGAAAACAAGCTTGCTCCCTCCTCCCTGTGGCTTCCTCTCACATATGTATACATGGCTATCATATCCCCTCTCAGCCTTCTTTTCTTCAGGCTAAACATGCCCAGCTCCTTAAGCTGCTCCTCATAGGGCTTGTTCTCCAGACCCTTTATGATTTTAGTCGCTTTCCTCTGGACACATTCCAGCTTGTCAATATCTCTCTTGAATTGTGGTGCCCAGAATTGGACACAATATTCCAGGTGTGGTCTAACCAAAGCAGAATAGAGGGGTAGCATTACTTCCCTAGATCTAGACACTATGCTCCTAAACACCTTCGCAGAAGCATACGAGAAGCTCGGCCTGTCATTGAACATCGAGAAAACCAAAGTGCTGTTCCAGCAGTCACCAGCCAATCCCTCTCCAATGCCAGAGATACAGCTTAATGGTGTAACATTAGAAAATGTGGACCATTTCCTCTCCCTACAAAAGTCAACATTGACACTGAAATACAACACTGCCTGAGCTCTGTGAGTGCAGCATTTTCCGAATGAAGCAGAGAGTGTTTGAGGACCGGGACATCCATAGGGAGACCAAGGTGCTTGTTTATAAAGCTATTGTCCTTTTTTTTTTTCCACAAGCAAATACTTTTTATTTATTTATTTTACATTTTGTTTATTATTTTGGGATTACAACCAGACACAGTGAAGACATCTGCCCTTGCGCTGTGCTACTCTGCTGCTGAGTATGCATGCCCAGTGTGGAACACATCTCACCACACTAAAACAGTAGATGTGGCTCTTAATTTGCTTTTTTTTTTTTTTTTTTTTTTTTTTTTTTTTTTTTTTTTTTTTTTTTTTTTTTTTTTTTTTTTTTTTTTTTTTTTTTTTTTTTTTTTTTTTTTTTTTAGATGTGGCTCTTAATGAGACATGCTGCATTATCACAGGGTGTCTGCGCCCCACACCACTGGAGAAATTACACTGCTTAGCCGGTATTGCACCACCTGACATCCGCCGGGAAGTAGCAGCCAATAGTGAAAGGACCAAGGCAGAGACATCTCCAGCTCATCCCCTGTTTGGGTATCAGCCAGCACGTCAACGACTTAAATCTAGACATAGTTTTCTAAGATCTACAGAGACACTCGCTGGAACACCCCAGCAAACAAGTGTCCAAAAGTGGCAGGCCCAAACCCAGCACCTCAATCCATGGGTGATACCAGAATGAGAGACTCCCCCCTGGGCACACAGGAAACTGGGCGACTTGGAAGGCACTGAACAGACTGTGCTCTGGCACCACGAGATGCAGAGCCAACTTCAAGAAATGGGGCTACAAAGTGGAATCCACGACATGCGAGTGTGGAGAAGAGCAAACCACTGACCACCTGCTGCAATGCAACCTGAGCCCTGCCACATGCACAAGGGAGGACCTTCTTGCGGCAACACCAGAGGCACTCCAAGTGGCCAGATACTGGTCAAAGGACATTTAACCAACTACCAAATTTGCAAAATCTGTGTGTTTTTTTCTTTTTCTTTTTAATCTGTGTGTTTGTTTTGCTCTGTTAGAATTGTAATACAATGGTATGGTTGCTGATGACACGATAAATAAATAAATTTTGCTACTGTTAATTTGTCCAACAAAATGTATAAGCATACATTCTTCTTTCTTTTTACAGTATCTTAGACAAAAGAGTATGTCATATTATATACAATCTAACAGTAAATAAACATCAAAAACTTCTTTGATCATATTTCTTATCATTATTTTTAAATTTCCATTACAACTTGTGCTACATATAACTCTATCACACACCTTTTATCCACTTATACATATTGTATTTCTTTATAATTATTATTATACCATTTCCCCCCTCTTCCCCTTACCCTTAGTTTGTGCCCCCTTCACCAGGACCAACCAACTCATGTTGTTTCACCATTCCAAAATATCATTGTTTCTCTTGCTGGCTTATACCCCTTTCCCTCATTAAACACATACTCGATACATTTTCCCCATATTTTCCAAAAGTCTGTTTGTTTACATATTCCCCTTTTAATTTTAATATTGCAAGTTAGCTTATCATTAGGTTCTTGTGTGTTTTTTCGGGCTATATGGACATGCTCTAGAGCAGTGTTTCTCAACCTGGGGGTTGGGACCCCTGAGGGGGTTGTGAGGGGGTGTCAAAGGGGTCACCAAAGACCATCAGAAAACAGTATTTTCTGTTGGTCATTGGGATTCTGTGTGGGAAGTTTGACCCAATTCTATTGTTGGGACAGAATGCTCTTTGATTGTAGGTGAACTATAAATCCCAACAACTACAACTCCCAAATGTCAAGGTCTATTTCCCCCAGACTCCGCCAGTGTTCACATTTGGGCATATTGAGTATTCGTGCCAAGTTAGGTCCAGATCCATCATTGCATGAATCCACAGCACTCCTCTGGATATAGGTGAACTACAACTCCCAAACTCAAGGTCAATGCCCACAAAACCCTTCCAGTGTTTTCTGTTGGTCATGGGAGTTCTGTGTGCCAAGTTCGGTTTAAATCCATCGCTGGTGGAGTTCAGAATGCTCTTTGATTATAGGTGAACTATAAATCCCAGCAACTACAACTCCCAAATGACAAAATCAATACTCACCCCATCCCACCAGTATTCACATTTGGGCAAATTGTGTATTTGTGCCCAGTTTGGTCCAGTGAATGAAAATCCATCCTGCATATCAGATATTTACATTATAATTTATGACAGTAGTAAAATGACAAGTATCAAGTAGCAACGAAAACAATATTATGGTTGGGGGTCACCACAACATAAGGAACTGCATTAAGGGGTCACGACAATAGCAAGGTTGAGAACCACTGTTCTAGAGGCATTTCTCCTGACGTTTCGCCTGCATCTATGGCAAGCATCCTCAGAGGTGAGACTTGCCATAGATGCAGGCAAAACATCAGGAGAAATGCCTCTAGAACATGGCCATATAGCCCGAAAAAACCCACAAGAACCTAGTGATTCCAGCCATGAAAGCCTTCGACAATAGCTTATCATTAATCGCTATATTCCAAATTTCCCTATACCATTCTTCTAATTGAATTTCTATTTTTTCCTTCCAATTTTTTGCTATTAACAATTTAGCTGCTGTTATCAAATTAGAAACCAATTCTTTCTCCTCTTGTACAGGGAATTATATTATCATGTATAAGTAATAAAGCTAATTTTGGTGTAATCTCAGTCTCTATTTTTATTATTGCTCTTATTTTTTTGAATATGCTTTCCCAAAATTTTTGTATAATGTAACATGACCACCACATATGACTCCCCAACCCCGCTTTACGCCTGTGAGACGTGGACTGTCTACAGACGTCACATGCAACTCCTAGAACGATTCCATCAGAGCTGCCTCTGGAAAAACCTGCAAATCTCTTGGGAAGACAAGAGGACAAATGTCAGCGTGCTGGAAGGAGCAAAGACCACCAGCATTGAAGCGATGGTCCTCCGCCGCCTGTGCCCTACACCACTGGAGAAATTACACTGCTTAGTCAGTATTGCACCACCTGACATCCGCCGGGAAGTAGCAGCCAATAGTGAAAGGACCAAGGCAGAGACATCTCCAGCTCATCCCCTGTTTGGGTATCAGCCAGCACGTCAACGACTTAAATCAAGACATAGTTTTTTAAGATCTACAGAGACACTCGCTGGAACACCTCAGCAAGCGAGAGTCCAAAAGTGGCAGGCTCAAACCCAGAACCTCAATCAATGGCTGATACCAAATGAGAGACTCCCCCCTGGGCACACAGAAGAGTGGGCAACTTGGAAGGCGCTGAACAGACTGCGCTCTGGCACCACGAGATGCAGAGCCAATCTTAAGAAATGGGGCTACAAAGTGGAATCCACGACATGCGAGTGTGGAGAAGAGCAAACCACTGACCACCTGCTGCAATGCAACCTGAGCCCTGCCACATGCACAATGGAGAACCTCCTTGTGGCAACACCAGAGGCACTCCAAGTGGCCAGATACTGGTCAAAGGACATTTAGTCAACTACCAAGCTTACAAACTCTGTTTTGTCTGTTTGTTAAAAATTTGTTAAAAATGTAATACAATTGTCTGGCTGTTACTGACACGATAAATAAATAAGCTGAGTGTGATGGAGTCAGAGATAATTCGCCTCCAGATGCTTTTTGCTGGCAAGTGCTGGCAATTGCTCCCCTCTCGTTGTCTCGGCCAAATATGAGAAAGTTGAGGATTATAGATATGCTCCCCCCCCCCCCCCCCCCCCACAACCGTCTCTCTCGAGGCTCCATGCAATTTCTCTCCTCAGCTCCAACGGAAAGTGGTAGTGATAAGGTTGAACTGGGAGGAGTGTGTGTCGCTGTGGGAAATGTTGTGTGCTGTTTTCTGACTGTTACTGAAAACTAAAATGATCAAGTTGGAGAAAGAACAAGCCCTATGAGGAGTGGCTTAAAGAGCTGGGCATGTTTAGCTTGGAGAAGAGACGACTGAGAGGAGACATGATCGCCATGTGTAAATATGTGAGGGAAAGTCAGAGGGAGGAGGGAGCAAGTTGTTTTCTGCTTTGGAGACTAGGACGCTGGAACAATGGCTTCAAACTACGAGAGAGGAGATTCCATCTGAACATTAGGAAGAACTTCCTGACTGTGAGAGCCGTTCAGCAGTGGAACTCTCTGCCCCGGAGTGTGGTGGAGGCTCCTTCTTTGGAAGCTTTTAAACAGAGGCTGGATAACCATCTGTCAGGGGTGATTTGAATGCAATATTCCTGCTTCTTGGCAGGGGGTTGGACTGGATGGCCCATGAGGTCTCTTCCAACTCTGATTCTATGATAACATGCAGAAATAGCAAGTCTATATGTTTTAAGTTAAGTAACTGATAATAATTTGTACTCAATGTCAAAATTAACTGGTTGATTGACTAAGGTAGATAGGCATGTACACATCAAAAATATTGTTACCTGATTATATCTGCCACGATTTGCTTTTCTGTTATGTACCATAACCAAAATAAACAGTTTTATTTAAAAAAAAAAGACACCTAAAAGGAGGTAATGATTTGGCTGAAGACACCATTCTAAATCATTTACTACCTGCTTGCTGGATTGTAATTAAAACCTGCTAATGAGAACTGAAAAGTAAACTGTGATAAGAACTGTGACAGCGATAGGAGAAATGTTTACATCTGTTTACATGTGTCAACATTTGCTGACCAGAAACTGGATCCAGGAAGGGCTTTTTCTGCAGGGATCAAGCTCAAAAATCTTTATTATCTGATTACAGACAAGTATGCATACTATAAAAAGCTAACATAGACTGTACAGATATAGGATAATTTTCACCTCATTGACTTGTACTCTGTAAAGGAAGCTCTGTGCTATTCCTACAGGTCTTGCCACTTCCTAAGCATTTGAATAGCTTTTGGCCCGTGTGGGTACTCTGATGGCAACAGAAGGCACTACAATTGTTGATATGCTTTCCACACTCTGGCATTTATACGGTTTCTCCCCAATGTGGATCTTCCTGGGGCAAGAAAGGTGGGCGCTCTGCCTGAAGCTTTTGTGGCACTCCAAGCATTGGTAGTGTTTCTCCCGTGTGGGTTCTCTTATGCTTAGTAAGATGCTTTTTGATACTGAAGCACAATCCGCACTCCACACATTTGTGTGGTTTCTCTCCTGTGTGGGTTCTTTGATGTTGAGTAAGGTTTCCTTTCACACTGAAACTCTTTCCACACTCCAAGCATTCATATGGTTTCTCTTTCGTGTGGGTCCTTTCATGCACACTGAGATTCGTCCTGGAGCTGTAGCTCTTTCCACACTCCGCACATTTATATGGTGTCTCTCCTGTGTGGATTCTTGTATGCTTAGTAAGGTGTCCTCTCACAGCGAAACTCTTTCCACACTCCAAGCATTTATATGGTTTCTCTCCTGTGTGGATTCTTCTGTGCACTTTCAGGTTTGAACTATCAACGAAGCTCTTTCCACACTCCGCACATTGATATGATGTCTCTCCTGCGTGGGTTCTTGCATGCCTAGTAAGGTGCCCTCTCTCAGCGAAACCCTTTCCGCACTCCAAGCATTGATATGGTTTCTCTCCTGTGTGGATTCTTCTGTGCACTTTAAAGGTTGAACTATCAGTGAAGCTCTTTCCACACTCGAGGCATTTATAGGGTTTCTCTTTCGTGTGGGTCCTTTCATGCGTACTGAGATTCGTCCTCGCACTGAAGCTCTTTCCACATACCACACATTTATATGGATTCTCTCCTGTGTGGCTTTTTCTGTGCACTTTGAGGGATGAATTCCCAGTGAAGCTCTTTCCACATTCCGCACATGTAAACGGTTTTTCTCCCGTGTGGGTTCTTTTGTGCACATTAAGTTTCCATTTTGTATCGCAGTCCTTTCCACACTCCACACATTTATAAATCGGATTTTCTCCCGTGTGGGTTCTTTTGTGTTCATTAAGTTTCCATTGGGTAGCGCAGCACTTTCCGCACTCCAAGCATTTGTATGGTTTCTCTCCTGTGTGGGTTCTTCTGTGCACTTTCAGGTTTGAACTATCAGCGAAGCCCTTTCCACACTCCAGGCATTTATAGGGTTTCTCTTTCATGTGGATCCTTTCATGCATTCTGAGATTCGTCCTCGCACTGAAGCTCTTTCCACACTCCTGGCATTTATATGGTGTCTCTCCAGTGTGGATTCTTCTGTGCACTTTCAGGTATGCTTTCTCAGTGAAGGACTTTCCACACTCCAGGCATTTATGATGCGGTCTTTCTCCCGTGTGGGTTTTTTTGTGCTCATTAAAATACCATTTGGTACTGTAGCTCTTTCCACAATCCACACATTTATATGGTTTCTCTCCTGCATGGATTCTTTCATTCGCTTTCTCCCCATTCTCACTCTCCCTCCCATCTTTGCCTGGAAAAGAAAGACAGAGAAATATTTCAATAGTGAAAGGTTACATCAGTGGCTCTGGCTTCAGCCCCCTTCCCAAAACTTGCAGAATGACTGAGCTGTTGTAGGTTTTTCAGGCTATATGGCCGTGTTCTAGAAGCATTCTCGCCTGACGTTTCGCCAGCATCTATGGCAAGCATCCTCAGAGGTTGTGAGGTCCCATATGTTAGTGTTCCATCTAAGGCAGGGGTCACCAAACTAAGGCCTGGCGGCCGGATGCGGTCCTCCAAGGTCATTTACCCGGCCCTCATTGAGGGTCAACCTAGTCTGAAACAACTTGAAAACACACAACAACAACAATCCTATCTCATCAGGCAAAAGCAGGCCCACACTTCCCATTGAAATACTAATAAGTTTATATTTGTTAAAATTGTTCTTCATTTTAATTATTGTATTGTTTTTAAGTGTTTTTCCCACTACAAATAAGATATGTGCAGTGTGCATAGGAATTCATTCATGCTTTTTTAAAATTATAATCCAGCCCTCCAACAGTTTGAGGGACTGTGACCTGGCCCTCTGTTTAAAAAGTTTGAGGACCCCTGCTCTACAGGCTAGCTGGTATTGCCCCCCCCCCCCCCCGATGTGGAATGGGAACTGTAGAGGAGAGTTGTGAAGGAGGTCCGTTATTAAACTGCTGCCACCAATTGTAACGATGACCGTTTTAATGCCACCGAATGCCACCAATTGTGAAGGTGCACGTGGTAAAGCACCCACTGCCACCTAATCTATGAGGGAAGCCGGGCAACGATCAATATCAACCTAGGAGCTATTTTATAAGGGGACTGTTAATTACAGAAGGCTTTATTCACTTGTTAGCGTAGCGTTTACTTTCTTGGCTTGACTTTACTATTACAGGCTGTTCAACTTAGGAGAAACTGTATCAGGCAAGGCTTGAGGAAAACAGTAACAAGTTTATTTTAACAGGAGTATAACAATGTATAACTGTTCTTCAAAAGAGGCACAAATCTTGATGGATACATTGGAAAGGTTTCATGAGTAAACTCAGGCAAACACTTCATAAGGTTTCACAGCTGGCACAACAGGCTTAAACCCAGCCAAACCTTGATTCTTAATTCAGAATCAACAACCCCCTGTACCGGGTCCTTCTCTGCAACCACTTGGTCACCAATTGATTCCCTGAATCTCCACCAAGAGATTCAGTCTTTCCCTATAGCACACTGGCTACAGACACATTCCCTGAATCTCCACCAAAAGATTCAGTCCACTCAGTAGCTTGCTGGCGTACTGACTGACTCTTTTTCAAAACAGCTGCCCCTGAAGAGGCAGTTGGCTCCGCCCCTGTTGCTATGGCAACTCAGCTAACGCCAAGCCACTCTCTCCAACAAAACATAATCTTACATACTTACCATCCCTAAACCACTATCCAAACTACACATAACCAAAGGAATAAAATCTTACACATCGTCACACACTGTGAAAGCCACCCACTGCATGGCTATCACCCTCCTCCCAGTAGACTCAAATAAAGGAAAAGCTTTATGAGAACCACCACTCCTCTTAACATTTCCCCAGCAACAGCAAGAGTATCCCTCTGGGCAGCTAAACCAGGAAATCCCAAATGGATGGCCGCCCATGAAGGTCTTCCTCCAGGGGCAAACCAAGAATGGGCAACTTGGAAGTCCCTAAACAGTTTCAGAAGTGGAGTGGGCAGATCAACAGACAACCTGGCAAATTGACAAATGGCTCTGCCTTGAAGAATCCTCCACCTTGTGCAACTGTGAAACAGAACAGGACAAGCATCTGTATGCTTGTCCGCAATGTCCTGCCTCATGTACAGAGGAAGAATTGTTGGAGGCTACAGACAATGTGGTCACTGTTGCCCATTTCTGGTCAAAAGATATTTAGCCGCTTGATCTCCTTCTATTGTTATCAGTTTTATACTAATTTATGCAATGCTTTTGATACGAAATAAATAAAATTATTGCTCCCTTTAATTCCCTGTAATTTTCCATTCGCGCTCTCTGCACCAAGACCTCAATTTCTTATAACAAAATGAGTTACTAATATTTGGTTTGACACATTTTTTGTTGTCTGCCAGAAGTATTGTACCCCTAACAGGTCCAAATTGTCTTCCCCAAATACAGCCACACTCCCTCCTTAACCTACCTGAGAAAGAGAGGCGAAGAGGAAGCAGGCTCCACTCGCTTTCGCTCAGCACTGTTTCGCCCTTGTTGTCCTCCTCCTTCACCACCCACCGGAGGGGTGCTCCCTGTTTGGTGTCCGGCTCAGCCTCATTGGCAATTCCCCAGGATCCACCATCGCTTCTCTCAGCCAGGGCAACATCAAGGTCTTCTCCTGGTTCTTCTTTGCATTGCTCTGGCTTTACATCAGGGCCAAGAGCATCCTCTAGGAGGGTCTTCTCCCCAGCAATTCCCCAGGGTCCACCATCGCTTCTCTCAGCCGGGGTGATGTCAAGGTCTTCTCCTGGTTCCTCTTTGCATTGCACTGGCTTTACATCGGGGCCAAGAGCGTCCTCCTCGGGGGTCTTCTCCCCAGCAATTCCCCAGGGTCCGCCATCGCTTCTCCCAACTGGGGTGACATCAAGGTCTTCTTCTGGTTCCTCTTTGCATTGCTCTGGCTTTACATTGGGGCCAAGAGCATCCTCCTCGGGGGTCTTCTCCCAAGCAATTTCCCAGGGTCCACCATCGCTTCTCCCAACCGGGGTGATGTCAAGGTCTTCTCCTGGTTCCTCTTTGATTTGCTCTGGCTTTACATCGGGGCCAAGAGCATCCTCTAGGAGGGTCTTCTCCCCAGCAATTCCCCAGGGTCCACCATCGCTTCTCTCAGCCGGGGCGATGTCAAGGTCTTCTCCTGGTTCCTCTTTGCATTGCACTGGCTTTACATCGGGGCCAAGAGCGTCCTCCTCGGGGATCTTCTCCCCAGCGATTCCCCAGGATCTACCATCGCTTCTTTCAGCCGGGGCAATGTCAAGATCTTCTCCTGGTTCCTCTTTGCATTGCACTGGCTTTACATTGGGGCCAAGAGCGTCCTCCTCAGGGGTCTTCTCCCCAGCAATTCCCCAGGGTCCACCATCGCTTCTCTCAGCCGGGGTGATGTCAAGGTCTTCTCCTGGTTCCTCTTTGCATTGCTCTGGCTTTACATCAGGGCCAAGAGCATCCTCTAGGAGGGTCTTCTCCCCAGCAATTCCCCAGGGTCCACCATCGCTTCTCTCAGCCCAGGGCGATGTCAAGGTCTTCTCCTGGTTCCTCTTTGCATTGCACTGGCTTTACATCAGGGCCAAGAGCATCCTCTAGGAGGGTCTTCTCCCCAGCAATTCCCCAGGGTCTACCATCGTTTCGCTCAGCCGGGGTGACATCAAGGTCTTCTCCTGGTTGCTTTTTGCATTGCTCTGGCTTTACATCAGGGCCAAGAATGTTTTCCTCGGGGGTCTTCTCCCCAGCAATTCCCCAGGGTCTGCCATCGCTTCTCCCAGCCGGGGTGACATCAAGGTCTTCTCCTGGTTCCTCTTTGATTGCCGATGTGTTACAGTTAAACATCCTCTGGCAGCTAAAGCAGGATCAAGATGCATCCATTCTGTAGTATAGAGATACACACAAGACCAAAAAGTAAGGCACTAGAACTACAACTTGATCTCTCCCTGCCTGTTGATGCTGAAGTGATGACCAAGCAGGCTTGGGAAATGCAAGTGGAGGGTGCATCTACATGGCAAAATTAAAGAGGTTTGATACCACTTCCACTGCCCTGGCTGAGTGCTTCTGGAATGAGCTTCGTGTATTCCAAGTAGTCCTAATTTTTTTTATATACTGGTTTTAAACCACTTCATTGGATGTGTTGCAATAGCAGATTCCCAGATTAGTTTAGTGTTAACATCTTATTTTATTTTTCTGGTTATTTAATATTTAATTTTTATTTTACTTAAGTGATATTTGTCTTTACTGTTCTAATGTAGCACAAATCCTATGTAAAATCATACTACGTATTTTTGACATTAATATTGAAACCTGAAATATATACAGAAAGTCTTGACTTGGGAATTACTTGTAGTCTTGGGCGTTTGGTGTCTGCAAGGTCTTGAGCCTCCTCCTTCTCCCCAAACTACATGGAAAAGATGGTTAAGGAAGTGGTCTGCAAACACTTAGAAACAAATGCGGTCATCGCTAATAGTCAACATGGATTTATCAAAAACAAGTCATGCCAGACTCATCTGATCTCTTTCTTCGATAGAGCTACAAGCTGGGTAGATGCGGGGAATGCCGTGGATGTAGCGTACCTGGATTTCAGTAAGGCCTTCGACAAGGTCCCCCATGACCTTCTGGCAAGGAAACTAGTCCAATGTGGGCGAGGCAAAACTACGGTGAGGTGGATCTGGAATTGGTTAAATGGACGAACCCAGAGGGTGATTCTCCCCAAGGCTTCCTCTTCATCCTGGAAAGAAGTGACAAGTGGAGTGCCATCAGGGTTCCGTCCTGGGCCCGGTCCTGTTCAACATCTTTATTAATGACTTAGATGAAGGGCTAGAAGGCATGATCATCAAGTTTGCAGACGACACCAAATTGGGAGGGATAGCCAATACTCCAGAGGACAGGAGCAGGATTAAAAACGATCTTGACAGATTAGAGAGATGGGCCAAAACTAACAAAATGAAGTTCAACAGTGACAAATGCAAGATACTCCACTTTGGCAGGAAAAACGAAATGCAAAGATACAGAATGGGGGACAATGCCTGGCTCGAGAGCAGTACGTGTGAAAAATATCTTGGAGTCCTCGTGGACAACAAGTTAAACATGAGCCAACAATGTGATGTGGCGGCAAAAAAAGCCAATGGGATTTTGGCCTGCATCAATAGGAGCATAGTGTCTAGATCTAGGGAAGTCATGCTCCCCATGCTCTATTCCGCTTTGGTTAGACCACACCTGGAATATTGTGTCCAATTCTGGGCACCACAATTCAAGAGAGATATTGACAAGCTGGAATGTGTCCAGAGGAGGGCAACTAAAATGACCAAGGGTCTGGAGAACAAGCCCTATGAGGAGCGGCTTAAGGAGCTGGGCATGTTTAGCCTGAAGAAGAGAAGGCTGAGAGGAGATGATAGCCATGTATAAATATGTGAGAGGAAGCCACAGGGAGGAGGGAGCAAGCTTGTTTTCTGCTTCCTTGGAGACTAGGACGCAATGGAACAATGGCTTCAAACTACAAGAGAGGAGATTCCATCTGAACATGAGGAAGAACTTCCTGACTCTGAGAGCCGTTCAGCAGTGGAACTCTCTGCCCCGGAGTGTGGTGGAGGCTCCTTCTTTGGAAGCTTTTAAACAGGGGCTGTCAGGGGTGATTTGAATGCAATATTCCTGCTTCTTGGCAGAATGGGGTTGGACTGGATGGCCCAAGAGGTCTCTTCCAACTCTTTGATTCTATGATTCTATGACTTGGGAATTACTTTGAAGTCCTGGGAGTTGTGGTGCCTTGAGCCTCCTCCTTCTCCCCAAACTACATCTCCCAGGACTCCTTATCACCCAGCCATGGCATTCCAAAGTGGGGCCAAACTGCACCCTTACTTACCAAAAGGAACTAGTTCCTAGTAACGACACTGCAGGCAACACGTTACCTTCCTTCCTTCCAACGCTCCTCTTCCCCCAGTTTGGAAAAGAACTCCTTCCTTCTCTTTGCTGACCACGCCCCCTTTTCCTTTGACCAATCAGCAGCGCGTGAGGGGAGAGCTCCTACCAATGTGCTTCTTTCTCTCCACCTTCTGATTCAGTGGGGCATCCCCGGAAGTGACGTTGGGGATTCCCTCCCCTCTTCTCTAGGGCCGGTCTAGGGCTGCGCACTCTGTCATTTTAACCCTTTCTAGAACAGCAATAGTAGCACAAACTATAGGCTATGGCTATGTCTATATATCTTATCTATCTATCTATCTATCTATCTATCTATCTATCTATCTATCTATCTATCTATCTATCTATCTATCTATCTATCTATCTATCTGAATGAATGAATGAATGAATGAATGTAATGTTAGTTTGTGGGATTAACAGAACTCAAAAACCACTGGACGAATTGACACCAAATTTGGACAGCATACACCTAACAACCCAATGTATGTCCTTCACTCAAAAGTTGATTTTGTCATTTGGGAGTTGTAGTTGCTGGGATTTATAGTTCACCTACAATCAAAGAGCATTCTGAACTCCACCAATGATGGAATTGAACCAAACTTGGCACACAGAACTCCCATGACCAACAGAAAATACTAGAAGGGTTTTGATCTTGAGTTTGGGAGTTGTAGTTCACCTACATCCAGAGAGTACTGTGGTCTCAAACAATGATGGTGTTCTGTCACCGCTGGAGCCGAAATGAGGTGCTTTTAAGAGAGGATGTTAGGCTTGCATCCAGTGGGAAGCCAGGGCCCCCGAAAAGAAGCCTTTAGGAAAATTCCCCTTATTAAGCAGTCTTTATTAGTCTTGAGCTTAAGTATAACAGTTCTTTATTAATGAACAAACAGGCTTAACAGTCTATTAGCTCTTGCAATCTTGTTTACAGGAAACAGGCACTATCTTCAAGAACTTTGCTCAAAGGAAAATTCCCCTTTTTAGCTCCTCCCAGGCTGCTGTGAACCTAAACCTGACTGATTTGAGTCCACTACCGGCTGAACTGCGTCTCAGAACCTAGCAGACGTACCAACAGGCCTGTAGTCACTTAGCTGGATTGATGAGCAGAGCTGTTATTCCCTCTGGAAGTCCTCAGGGCTGTAAAGCTGTTTCCCTGGAACCTTTTGGGAATCTGTAGAGGCTCTTAAAACTGTTCTCCCCCGGGAAGTCTTAAGAGACGAAGCCTTTGCACAGGAGGACGTTTGTGTACATCCTCTGCATTGACTTCCTTTTTGAGACTAGACAAAAAATGGCCCCTTCCCTCCAAAAAAACCCAGAGAGGGGCGGGACCAGGGCACCTAACAATCATTGACAGGTGGCTTGCCCTATGATTGCAAACAGGAAGCCACCCTGCTGCAAAATCCCAAGTCTGGGATTGCAAACAAACATTTAATCCAAAGAAATAAAATTGGAGCTCCTGGAACAGCTGTTCCAGAACAGATGGATCTGGACCAAACTTGGTACAAATATTCCATATGCCCAAATATGAACACAGATAGAGTTTGGGGGAAATAGACCTTGACATTTGGGAGTTGCAGTACACCTACAATCAAAGAGCATTCTGAACCCCACCGACGATAGAATTGGGCCAAACTTCCCACGCAGAACCCTCATGACCAACAGAAAATACTCTGTTTTCTGATGGTCTATTGCAAGCCCTCTGACACACCCTTGCAAACCCCCCCCCCCCCAGGGGTTCCAACCCCCAGGTTGAGAAATACTGATCTAGACACAAAGATAAGCCCTCCTGACAAAGAGACATCCAGCCATAGATATAGATGTAGATATATATGATTCGCACACAGACAGATATAGTATCATAGATTTGACCCCTAAAGAAGCACAATTATATATTGCATGTTCCAGAGTAGGCAAACCAGAAAATCTCTACATCAACACTGACAAAGAAACAGCAAGAAATGAAATCGAGGTGGAATTTAAAAGGGTTTCAACCTGAAGGAGAGACCCTGCGGACCCACCAAAGAGGGCTCCCTACAGTGGTGAGCAAAGAGAAGCCGCAATTTAAAAGATTTCTCTAAGTTCCCAAAAGAATCTCACCAAAGTTGAAGAAAGCGCCAAGATGATTTTATTGCGATCTAGCTGGAAAGGATGCAAAGCCGCAATATTTCGCCAAGCAAAGCATAACATGTACACAAATAAAAGCCTTTTTTATACAGAAACAGAGTTGTCAGATTTGAATTTCCTGTTCCCCGCCCCCCTGTTGGCTCGATGATGATTGGCTGGCGCTCTACAGCTGGGAGGAGGCTTGGCCGCCTCCTGGGTGCCTGCACCAATAGCTGAGCTTCTGCCGCCTCCGTTCCCCGATGAATCAGGAGAGAGAGGCCGGACGAGAGGGAAGCAATGGATTCTTGAGAGGATTATGTAGATAGGGGATATCCTAGCAGCCAGCGAGTCCTGGGGGCCTACAAGCCAGCCAATTCTATTGTCTCTGATTGATAGCAATAAACATTGATGTCTGGCAAGCCTGCCAGAATCCAGATTTTCCTGGGGCTGAGATATGGGAACAATGAAGTACTATTGGTGGAAGTTTCGGTGGAGGAAGAGATGAATGGGTGACAGGACAGGTGTGGCTTTCCGAAGGCCCCTTTTGTCCTATAGAGAGATGATCATCAATGTCAAATGGTCGCCTCCCCTGGGGGGGTCCAACTTCGAGCCCCAAAGGTCACGACCCATTGTTATTGTCCATGCAATAAGTGTATTTTGATAAGGGTCTTTTTTGTATTTTCAACTGCCCAGAAGCTGCAGCTAGTCCAACGCTCGGCAGCCAGACTACTCATGGGTGCTGGGTACAGGGAGCACACCACTCCGCTGTTACACCAGCTCCACTGGCTGCCAATTAGCTTCCGAGCACAATTCAAGTGCTGGTGTTAACCTATAAAGCCCTAAACGACTCTGGCCCTGTTTACCTCTCCGAACACATTATCCCCTATGAACCATCAAGATTATTAAGATCGTCTGGAGAGGCCCTGCTCTCGGTCCCACCAGCCTCGCAAGCGCGTCTGGTGGGGACGAGGGACAGGGCCTTCTCGGTGGTGGCCCCTCGACTCTGGAACTCTCTCCCACTGGAGATCAGAACCGCCCCTTCTATCCTGACATTTAGGAAACAGGTGAAGACGTGGTTATGGAAACAGGCATTCGACGAGTGAGCCAACACCCTAAGATATGGATGGAGGATGATGAACAACGATTTTAGTGTGACGACTGACCATTGTAGTTATTGAATGTAATTGCTGTTTTAATGTTTTACTGTAATATGAATTATGATGTTTTATTGACTGTATGTGATATTATGGTTGGAAACCGGTCTGAGTCCCTCAAGAGAGGTGAGAAGGTCAGCATACAAAACTTTTAAATAAATAAATAAAATAAATAGTTTTCCAGCCTCTCCTAATACAACTAGTATTACTATCACTGCCAGCAGACTCTATCACAACAGTGCTATACATTGGTCTTGTGCAGGTACAGCTGTACCAGGAGTTCCAATTTTGTTTGCTTTGCATTGAATTTTGTTGTAGCCCTAAGTTTCAGGGACTCTGCAGATAGGTGCTTCTTTTGGCTGCAATCATAGGGCAAGCCACCTGTCAATTATAGTTAGGTTCCCTGGTCCCGCCCCCTTTTTGGGTTTTAGAGGGAATAGGAGCCATTTTGGGTTCAGTCCACACAGAGAAGCCTTTCATGCAGGACATAATACCAAGAGCTCCTGTAGAAAGCTTCGTCTTCTACGGCTTGGCCGGGGAGATATACAGCCCACAGCTTGGCCGGGGTTATACAGCCCTACAGTTCCTTTGCTGAAGGACTTCAGTCAGCCATCACGGAAACCTGAATTCTTTTTCCCCTGGAAGTCTACAAAGCTCTGCTTGGTAAGGGTCACTCGCGGAAGCCAGAAGCAGTTGGTACCGGGTGCAGGGGCTCCACGCCAACAGAGGCAAAGACAGACTGCCCAGATTAGAAGTTAAGGATTTCCCCATTAGTTACAGTTATGAAGATAGTGCCTGTTCCCTGTGGACAAGATTGAGAGAGAACCAATAGACGAGTGATTCTCAACCTGGGGTCCCCAGATCTTTTTGGCCTACAACTCCCAGAAATTCCAGCCAGTGTACCAGCTGTTAGGATCTCTGGGAGTTGTAGGCCAAAAACACCTGGGGACCCCAGGTTGAGAACCACTGCAATAGACTGTTAAGAAAGCCTTAAAGTTCCTGTTTGTTTTCATTAATAAAGAACTTTGTTGAACTTTTAAGCAATCTAAAGACTCTGTTTTAAGGAAATCCAAAAGCTTTTAATCTGAGGCAGCCCTGTTGGGCACACAGAATTTATGTCCTGCCTACAGTCTTATGCATAGGCCCAGCGTGCGACAGCTGGTTTTTCTCCCGTGTGGATTCTTTTGTGCAAATTAAATTTCCATTTTGTAGCGCATTCCTTTCCACACTCCACACTTGTTAGGATTTTCTGTATTTTTAGGGGAAGTCACTCAAAAATATAGCAGAGCATCCAAAATACAAACAGAATGCTTAGTGCTGAGCGTTCAGTTCACAGCAAGCAGAGTATGAAGTGTTGAGGGTGGAAAAGAATTTAGAGCTTATGAGGCAACGATCCAGAGTTCAATTTTTCAAAATACGAAAAGTTTGTGCAATGTAATGCAATGCGGAGGGGAGGGGGATATTACGGTATGTGTATATATGTATAATGTCAGGCAGACATGAGGTGTTGGGGCTACATGGGGGAAGTGTGGAATCGAACCTCATAAACTCAGTGACTTGTAGTTCATGCTTGAAACACACTTTCTCTGTCTTTGTGTATATTTCTTCTATGTGTAATCCAAACCTGGATCCAATATGTAACTTCTTAACTTCTCACAGGTTTACTTCAGTGTATTCATAGACTGACTTCCAGCCATATAGCTTTAATCCAGTAACTTGACACAAGTCTTTAATATATATATGTTGAAATAAATAAATGTTTATTTATGAATTCTTCTGCACATAAGCTTATCTGTTACAAAGTACATTACTTCAGTTCCACCTGGATATGACTGTAACTGTTTTTCACTCCTTTAAATACATAACATTGTTATTTTATAACTTTCAAACAGTTAACTTTGTTGTACGTAAGCGGAATTTAGTTTGGTCCAATGCAAAAGGCACAATAACTTTGCACAAAAGCAGGAGGAAGAAAAAACAGAAAACTTTACTCTTGTCAGCAGAGTTAAAACATAAACTTGCAGTGCTGTATACAAAATAAACAGTGCCACAAACTTACATCGTCCTTGTAAGAAATACACAACGCAAAAAACAAGGCGTCTTAATCTTCCTTCAAATGAGCAGCGTAAATTGTTGAGCAAAATGCTGTGAGAATAAGCTCCTCAGAGCAAAAGCGTTGTGAGCATAGAGCTGAACTGTATTCTAAACCACATACAGTTACACCCCATCGGGTGTGGCTCAAATTTACTTGCTGACCTAGATTAGCAGCTGAACATGATAATTAACAGTATAACGTTTTCTGTAACACACACAAACACATATACTTGGTGCTGATCCTTTTACAACTTACCGAAACAAACTTGTTTCTGCTCTGTTGAGCCACTTCCTTCTCCTTCAAAATATATTTCTCCTCAGTTACCTGGCTTGTTGTCTTTTAACCTTAAAGACGCACTCTTCTGTCAATACTTGTGTGATGTAAAGGAATCTCTGCGCTATTCCTACAGGTCTTGCCACTTCCTAAGCATTTGAATGGCTTTTGACCCGTGTGGGTTCTCTGATGGCAACAGAAGGCACTGCAATCGCTGATGTGCTTTCCACACTCCCGGCATTTATACAGTTTCTCACCAGTGTGGATCTTCCTGTGGCAAGAAAGCTGGGCGCTCTGCTGGAAGCTCTTGTGGCACTCCAAGCATTTGTAGGGTTTCTCTTTCATGTGGGTCCTTTCATGCAAACTGAGATTCCTCCTCGAACAGGAGTTCTTTCCACATTTCACACATTTATATGGTTTTTCTCCCGTGTGGGTTGTTTTGTGGCATTAAGTTCCCATTTTGTACTGCAGCCCTTTCCACACACCACACATTTGTGCGTTTTCTCTCTTGTGTGGGTTATTTTATGTTGAGTAAGGTTTCCTTTCACACTGAAGCTCTTTCCACACTCCAAGCATTCATATGGTTTCTCTTTCGTGTGGGTCCTTCCATGCACACTGAGATTCATCTTGGTGCTGAAGCTCTTTTCACACTTCGCACATTTATATGGTCTCTCTCCTGTGTGGATTCTTGTATGCCTAGTAAGGTGTCCTCTCACAACGAAACTCTTTCCACACTCCAAGCATTTATATGGTTTCTCTCCTGTGTGGATTCTTCTGTGCACTTTCAGGTGTGAACTATCAGCGAAGCTCTTTCCACACTCCAGGCATTTATAGGGTTTCTCTTTCGTGTGGATCCTTTTATGCGTATTGAGATTCGTCGTCGCACTGAAGCTCTTTCCACATTCCAGACATTTATATGGTTTCTCTCCTGTGTGGATTCTTCCATGCTTTTTGAGGGATGCACTCGCAGTGAAGCTCTTTCCACATTCCACACATGTATACGGTTTTTCTCCCGTGTGGATTCTTTTGTGCAAATTAAATTTCCATTTTGTAGCGCATTCCTTTCCACACTCCACACATTTATAAGGCAGGCTTTCTCCCGTGTGGGTTCTTTTGTGCACTTTAAGTTTCCATTTCGTAGCACAGTCCTCTCCGCACTCCACACATTTATATGGTTTCTCTCCTGTGTGGGTTCTTGTATGTACAGTAAAGTGTCCTCTCTCCCTGAAGCTCTTTCCACACTCCTGGCATTTATATGGTTTATCTCCTGTGTGGATTCTTCTGTGCACTTTGAGGTATGCTTTCTCAGTGAAGGACTTCCCACACTCCAGGCATTTATGATGCGGTTTTTCTCCCGTGTGGGTTTTTTTGTGCTCACTAAGATACCATTTGGAACAGTAGCTCTTTCCACATTCCACACATTTATACGGTTTCTCTCCTGCATTGATTTTTTTATATGTTTTCTCCTCGTTCTCACTCTCCCTCCCATCTTTGCCTGGAAAAGACAGACAGAGAAATATTTCAATAGTGAAAGGTTACATCAGTGGCTCTGGCTTCAGCCCCCGTCCCAAAAATTGCAGAATGACTGCTCTTTGACACCACTTCAACCGCCATGGCTTGATGCTTTTTGGAACAATGAGATTGGACTGGATGGACCATGAGGTCTCTTCCAACTCTATGATTCTATGTTTCAGCGTGAAGCCAAAGACAGGGTTCACTCTAGACATTGTGTAATCTGATTTTTTCTTATCTAAAATGAGAGACCATCCAGTCCAACCCCCTCTCCAGCTATTACAAAGGTAACCACCTGAAGCCTAACCCTGCCAAGACACAAGTGTATGCTTTCCACCTACAAAACCATGAAGCCAACAGGAAAATTGAAAGTTACCTGGAAAGGTCAAGAGCTTGAACATTGTTTCCAACCTCAATATCTTGGTGTCACCTTAGATCAGTGGTTCTCAACCTGGGGTCCCTAGATGTTTTTGGCCTACAATTTCCAGAAATCCTAACAGCTGGTAAACTGGCTGGGATTTCTGGGAGTTGTAGGCCAAAAACATCTGGGGACCCAAGGTTGAGAAGCACTGCCTTAGATGGAACACTAACATAGGAAACACTGCATGAACACCAATCACAAAGTTTGTTGTTTATTTGTTCAGTCACTTCTGACTCTTCGTGACCTCCTGGACCAGCCCATGCCAGAGCTCTTTATCTGCCGTCACCACCCTCAGCTCCTTCAGAGTCAAGCCAGTCACTACAAGGATACCTCCATCCACCTTGCCCTTGGTCGACCCCTCTTCCTTTTTCCTTCCATTTTTCCCAGCATCATCCTCTTCTCCAAGCTTTCCTGTCTTCTCATGATGTGGTCAAAGTCCTTCATCTTAAAAACAAATTTATTTTATTTTTATTTGCAGCATTTTTACCCCACCCTTCTCCACCCCTGGAGTGGGACTCAGAGCTGCACGCAATAATATCCTCTTCTGTCATGCACTGGGCCTGTCATGATTCTCTTTTGAATAGGACGTGCACTTTGTGCCCAGCGGGAAGCCAGGGCGCCTCAAAAGAGGCCCTCAAGGATTTTCCTGTAGAAATGGTCTTTAGAGTCTTTAATGATTTATCAAAGTCCTTTATTATTGAACAAATTAAACAGATACTTCTCAAATCTTCATTGAGTCCTTAATCTTGTCCACAAGGGACAGGCAACTGTCTTCGTTAATTGTTCTTTCACTTTAAGAGGAAAACCCTTTTTTAACCTCTCCCAGGCTGTCTACTATCTAAGCTTTACTGATGTGGGTTCTACTACCGGATTCAAACTGCGTCTTGAGCACCGAGTAGACCTACAAGTAAAGGCTTGTAGATTCTCCAGCTGGAGTTCTTTGGGTCTGTAAGGCTGCTTTCCCTCTGGAATTTCTTAAGAAACCTTTTTGGAGCTGTTTCCCTCAGATGCTGTAAGGCTGAGAGGCTGTGAGCTCCCTGCCAGAGCTTTTGGGACTGTTTTCCCTCGGATCTCCTGTTTCTGTTTCCCTGGAATTCTTAAGAAGTGAAG